ACGAGGGCCGGTCTGCTCCGGCATACATTCTCCGGGGGGGCTCCGGCTTTAGGTCCACGAAAGTTTGGCCCGCTGTTCTTCAGATGACCCAGGGGCCCCCTGTGCGTTCCACCTTTTTTGGACCTTCTCCGTAGCCTTTGGCTTGTAGGCGCCTGAGCGCGTTCCGTGCTGCCCATTTGAGTATGATAAACTATCCCTCTTTCACCTTGTGCGACTTTCTTACTGATCCATGTGTCTTTTGTATTGAGACACCCCCTCCCTGTACCCCTACGCCCTGGTACGCGCCGCCAACAACAGCAAATATGTTCATTCTGTCCTCTCCGTGCTTCTGTGCGTCCTCGCGGCTTCTGCGCTCTGGGCTCTGGTGTCCCTCGGAAGAGTATCGTGTCCTCCCCGGTTTCCTTTCTCGTATACGCTCGGACAGCACGCGTAGCCGTGGCGGTCACAATGACGTTTCGCGCATCCTTTCCAGGCCATCCAGAAACAAGTCCAAGACGATATGTCGACGGAAGGGCGGCGGGGGGAGCATACGTGAATTGCAAGGAGACACTTGTCAAACCGAAGTTCGGGTGGGCCAACCCGAGAGCCTATCAGCAGTAGCCGAAGCGGTGACATGTGGGGGGCCGTTGGGAACCTCTTGGAGGCCTCTGTGGGCCATATCGTGGCTCTCCTGAGCTCCCTTCCTGTGGTGTTGAGTCTTCGTTTTGAAGAGACAGCGCCCAGCCTCCTCGTTCCTCTACTCACCCTCCTCCCTCCTCCCATCCGTGCCTCTGCCCTCCGCATGTTTCTGTTTCGGTGCACCCCTCACGTGTTTCGTGGCTTCATAGGGAGCTCCACCTGAAGCCTCAATGGTGCCGTTCGCATGCGTCCCTGCCTCCCGTTTCAGCACACCCTTCACACGCTTCGTGGCCCCATAGGGGAGCTCCAGCGAGGACCAGCGTGGTGCCGTTCGCATGCGCCCCCGCCACCCACTTCGGCACACCCCTCACACGGTTCGTGGCGTCATACAGTCGGCCCTGATTAGTAGGTCGACCCTGCCAGCTCAAGGGTACACTTGTGTCCTGTGCCTGGCGACACGTGCTTTCTTATATTCCTATGGCGATGTGGCCTTCGGAAGGGTCTTGTGTCCTCTCCAATCAAGTCCGACTGGAAGGAGCTCCACCTAAGGTCCAAGTGGTGCCGTTCGCACGCGTCCCGCCACCCATTTCGGCACACTCCTCACACGTTTCGTGGCCCCATAGGGGGCTCCACGCAAGGCCGCAATGGCACGCGTCAGTCAGTCAGTCAGTCATGCCATACGCTGGAGCACGTGGGCGGAGGAAGAGACTGCCCGCCAGGTCTTTCCGCTTTGCGGGAGCGGCGGCACATCGCGCGCGGTCAGAAGGAGGAGGAGCGGGAGGACAAAGGAAGGAATATAGAACATTTGCCACGAATCTGCGCCAAGCAACTGGATCACTGGCGCCCGCCATCATTTGTTCCTGTGCATCGAACTGCGGCTGAGCACAACCGGCAAGGCTTTCCTCCATTCTTGCTTCGGCCTCCTTACTGCTCGGGCGCACGTATTTGTAGCTGGGCTGCAAAGATCAGGCGGCGGAGCGGGTTGGTAGCGGCAGCCCTTCCGATATTTGCCGACATTTCGGCACACCCCTCACACGCTTCGTGGTCGCATAAGGAGCTCCAGCGAAGGCCCAGCTGGTGCCGTTCGCATGCGTCCCCGCCGCCCATTTCGGCGCCCCCCTCACACGCTTCGTGGCCCCACAAGGAGCTGCATCTGAGGCCCAACTGGTGCCGACGAGGGCTAAAGTGGTGCCGTTCGCACGCGTCCTTGCAAACCATTTCGCCACACCTCTCACTCGTTTCGTGGCCCCATCGGAAATTCTTCTTAAGGCCCAACTGTTGCCTTTCGCATGCGTTCCCAAAACTCATTTCGGCACACCTCTCACACGTTTCGTGGTCCCATGGGGAGCTCCAACGAATGCTTAGCTGGTGCCGTTCGCATACGTCCCCGCCACCGCTTTCGGCACACCCCTCACACGCTTCAGAGATTCGGGTCAGTTACACCGGACCCCCCCCAAACATTATGTTTAAAAGCCAGGTGTTTTGACGATATTGGCATCTTGGTGGCCTCCTTGGGAGGCTCCATGGCTACCTCGGGCCGTCTTGGTGTGTCTTGATGCCTTGTGAACGCATTCTGGAGGACACCTTGACCTAAATTGGATCGTTTCAGGCGATCTTGGATGACATGCTTGGCTATCCTGGTCCATATGCATCCAATATGGACCATATTGGATGCATAGGCTCACTTTGGCTGCTCCAGCTGGACACTTCGCGTGCCCCCACCAGCCGATCAAGAATGCAATATAGGCGGTGCTTCGTCCTTCGTGTGGGAAAGAATGGACGAGCATCAGCCAGTGAGCGCAAAGAGGGGGGATATCAGTCAAGCCGAAACTGGGACCAGTCGAACAGACCGAGCAGCCTTCCAAACTTGCCAAATTGGGACCCTGTGGAATCTTCTTGGAGTCATATTTTATCCCCCTCTTTCTCTACCGTGGATGTAAGGAATTAGCTCAGAACCAAATCATAACGTTGAAATTTCGCCGTTCAAAGAAATGAATGGAGTCCCGGCCACGACAATCTGGGGCTCAAAAACCTGCACTTGTGGTTCGCGTTTATGTTGTACATGTTCGGCGGCGGCCGCCGATCGTGCCCAGCGTGGAACCCGCGGACATTGGATGGCGAAATTCCAACGTTGCGAATCAGTTTCGCGTCAACTGTTTCCATCCGCGGCATCCGTCCCCCTGTTACATGCTTTTGTTGCTGTCTTTGTGGGAACCGGTTGTGCACATCGAAGCCGTCGGGCCTTCTCGGGACCTGTTAGGCCACCTGCGTCCAGAGGGTTGGTGAAATTCATTCAAGGCTTTGTGCAGGATGTCCAGCATCGAAGGTGGCCAGCGGCGGGAAGGCAATTGGCAACCCAGAGGGAATCGAGCGCCAGCCGGCCCAGAAAGCCAGGGGGGGAAACGAGGGAGGTGAAGAGAGGTGGATGGGGATCTCCCCCTCCAGCCCTTCCCCCCTTCTGCCTATTTTCCCCCTGTCCTCCCCTTCCCGCTCCCCCTCCTCGTCGTCTTTGTCCTCCTTTGTCTTCCATCCTTTTTTCTGCGCATTCCCCCCGTCTGAAGTACCACCCCGAAGCCTCATGGGGCGCCTTTTGCAGACAGCGAGGATATGAGGCGGTTGCGACCTGCCCTCGGGTCTGTTGCATGTACCAGGCACGGCTGTGCAACGAGGGCAGGCGTCAGAGTTACCTCCTGGATAAGAGGGACGGAGAGCGGAAACATTTCGGTACGTCGGAGCAGGCGGAGGGAGATATTGGAAGTCGATGGGGAAAAGGAAACGAACGAGTACGATGGGATTCCCAAACACCGAAATCAGAGGCTCCCCTTCCTCATCCTTCTCCTCCTCCTCCTCCTTCTCATCCTCCATGCCCTCCATCTTGCTGTTGTGCCATTTGGTTTCCGCCTCCACCAGCACCTGCTCCGGCAACCCTCTGAAACACGACAACCCTTGCATCCCCCTCCTTATCGTCGTCGTTGTTCCTCCGCCACCTCCTCCTGACCGTCCTGCCCATCCTCTTCTTTCCGTTCCCTCTCTCTCTCTCTTTTGCTCTCCCTCCTCCTCTACCTCGCGCTCCTGCGCCTCCTGCTCCTCGCGCCCGCGGACGGGTTGACATGAGTCGCATGGTTGCGGTTGCAGTTGCGGTCGCGCCCGCGGGCGGGTTGAAATGTGTCGTCGGTTGCGGTTGCGGTTGCGGTTGCGGGTGCGCCCGCGGGCGGGTTAAAGCATGTCGCTTGGGTGCGGTTGCGGTTGCGCCCGCGGGCGGGTTGACATGTGTCGCTTGGCGGTTGCGGGTCCGCCTGTTTGTGTTTGAAATGTGTTGCCACATGTGCGTCTCCAGTTCAGTCAGCGCAGTTCAGTTCAGCCGGTCAGTCAGTGGAGGGCACGGAATGTTGCCTAGATGCGGTTGCGGTTGCGCCCACGGGCGGGTTGAAATGTATCGTGTGGGTGCGGTTGCGGTTGCGACCGCGGGTGGGTTGCAATATGTCGCCCAGTTGCGGTTGCGGTCACGCCCGCGGTCGGGTTGAAGTATGTCGCTGTGTTGCGGTTGCGGGTGCGCCCGCGGGCAGGATGAAATGTGTCGCCCGGTTGCGGTTGTTGTTGCGGTTGCGCCCGTGGGGTTGAACGTGTCGTTTTGTTACGATTGCGGTTGCGGTTGCGCCCGCGGGCAGGTTGAAATGCGTTGCTTGGTTGCGGTTGCGGTTGCGCCCGCGGGTAGGTTGAAATGTGTCGTGTGGTTGCGGTTGCGGTTGCGCCCGCAAGCGGGTTGAAATGTTGCTTGGTTGCGGTTGCGGTTGCGGTTGTGCCCACGGGCAGGTTGAATGCGTCGTGTGATTGCGATTTCGGTTGTAGTTGCGGTTGCGTTTGCGGGTTGGTTGAAATGTGTCGTGTGGTTGCGGTTGCGGTTGCGCCCGCGGACGGGTTGAAATGTGTCGTTTGGTTGTTGTCGGTTTCACCCGCGGACGGTTTGAAATGTGTTGCCCGGTTGCGGTTGCGGTTGCGCTTACGGGCGGGTTTAAATGTGAAATGTGTCGTTGTGTTGCGATCGCGGGTGCGCCTTTTTCTTGTTTGAAATGTGTTGTCACACGTGCATCTCCAGTTCAGTCAGCGCAGTTCAGTTCAGCCGGTCAGTTAGTGGAGGGCACGGAATTTCACCCGGCTCCGCGGGGAATAAACAACGACGAGGAAGCATAGGAATACGGGCAGAGCAAGGAAAAAGCAGGGGACGAGAAAACACGTAGTCATGCCAAGACGGGGACGAAGCAGATGCGGAGAGACGGGTGGAAACAGACACGGAAAGGTGCGGGGGATGAGATGTCAACGTGTCAACGTCGAGGGATATCCTGATTTGCTCGGCCCACTTCCTTGCTGCCCCCCCCCACCAGGCCTGTCGTTGAGCCTTGCAAGGATGACTGCGAGGCGCGGTTCGCGCCTGCTCGGCCGCGCCCCATGTCTTCCTTTCTATGCCTGAGAGGCTCTCACCCTCTGCTCGAAGAACGGAGGTTTCAGCTGAATGGTGGGTGCGCTTTTAAAGCAGATGTTTCTCGTTCACCCTGCAAGCTCACTGCAGGCTGCGAGCTCTTACCCTGCGTCCTTCTCTTTATTCTGAGCGCCGTATGGGCTACTGTCTTTGATGTTGGTGGCGTTGCGTTTGGACATGTAACGTAGTCTCGGTTCTGTCTGCTCTGCTATTCTAATGTTATTGCTGTTCCTCCGCCTCCAGCGTTGCGATAGCGCGGCAACTGTGAAAGTTACCTTTTGGCTTTTCCTTCTCGGCGCTGCGTCGTAGTTTGTGTCACTTTGCCTTGGCACCAGGCTTTCGCCTTGGACAGCTGATGGAGGAGGAGCAGCGTCAACAAAAGAAATAAGGAAACATGGCTCCCTCTGCTGAGAGTTAAGAGGCCCGTGTCATTAAACTTGCGTGAACAGCAATCGGGAAGACGAGGTTTCTTGTGGCCTGTCGGGGCCTCCTGGGAGCTTCTGGGAGCCTCCTGAGGCCTCCTGGGCCCTCTGAGGACCTCTTGGGGGCCTGGGGCATCTTAGCGGCCTCCTTGGAGCCTCTCAGGGACCTCTTGGCCTTTGGAGGCTGTCTTTGGGGCCTCACTGGGCGGTCTTGGGGCACGCTTGGGATGCTTAAGGGGCATCTTGGAGGCCTATGAGGCCATCTTGGGGCCGTCTTGGGCAGTTGTTGGGCACTCGTGGCCCGCCTTGGGGCCATGTTGGGGGCTTCTTGGGCCATCAGGGACTCATCTTGGATGCTCCTTAGGCTCCCTTTGGCTGTCGGAAGCCGAGAGTGCGAACATTATCAAGTGACGTGCCTGGGTTTTGGGTTAGAGGCCTCTTGGAGGCAGTTTGAGGTCTCTTGGGGGCCGTTTGGGGACCTCTTGGGAGCCACTTCGGGCCTCTTGAGGGCTTCGTGGGTGTTGGAGAGCTATTGGGGCTTCTTTGGGGCCTCGTGGGCCGTCTTGGGGCCATCTTGGGTGTCTTGGACCGCTCTTGGGCTGTCTTGGAGGCCTCTTTGATCTTTTTGGGGCACTCTCTGGAGCCCTCTGGGCCCGTCTTGGGGTCCTGGTGGCCTCTGGAAAAGTCACGCGCGGCAGCCCACGGGCGCGCGGGAGCGCCCAGGAAATTTCAGAATCTGGGGCCCCGGCCCCTAGAGTACTAGAATCCCCCAGTCCTGAACACAGAGAACAGAAAACACATGAGAGCCTGGGGGGGAACTCCACTTTGTGCCTCGTGGCACGGTGGCGAACAGAACAACACCTGACATTAACGAGTTGGTTTTCTTAGGGAGGGCCCTTTGGAGCCATCTTGGGCTGTTTTGGGAGCAGTCTTGAGGCCGTCTTGGGGTCATCATACTGGGCGGTCTTGGAGGCATATTGGGGTCCTGGTGGGAGATCTTGGCCGTGTGAGAGACGCCTTGAGGCTGTCCTGGATGCTGCCCGAGTTTGTTTCCCCACAGAATGTGGTGTTGGGTCCTCGGGTTGAAGAGACAGCGCCCCACGTCTCTTTCCTCCTCCTCCTCTCCTCCTCTCATCAGATTCCCTTTGCCCTCCGCACGTTGATTCCGGCACGCCCCTCACACGCTTCGTGGCCCCATGGGCAGTTCCGCCGAATGTCCCAGTGGCGCAGTTCGCATGCGTCCCCGCTACCCAATTCGGACCACCCCTCACTCGTTTCGTGGCCCCATACGGAGCTCCACTGAAGGTCCCAGAGGCGCAGTTCGCATGCGTCCCCCCAATCCAGTTCGGCACACCCCTTTTAACACTTTGTGGCCTCGCAGGGAGCTCCACCGAAGATCCCAGTGGCGCAGTTCGCACGCGTGCCCCCCATCCAGGACGGCACACCCCTGACGCCCTTCGTGGCCCCATGGGGAGTTCCGCAGGGGGTCCTAGTAGCGCATTTCGGATGCGTCCCCGCCGCCGATATCAGACCACCCCTCACACGTGTCTTGGCCCCATCGGGAGCTCCAGCCAAGATCCCAGTGGCACAGTTCGCACATGTCCGCGCCACTCATTTCCGCACACCCCTGACACGTTTCGTGGCCCCGTGGGGAACTCCACCGAAGATCCGAGCGGCGCAGTTCGCATGCGTCCCCGCCACGCATTTCGGCACACCTCTCACAAGTTTCGTGGCCCTGTAGGCAGCTCCGCCCCAGGCCCCCGTGGCGCAGTTCGCGTGCGCCCCCGCCACCAATTTCGGAATGCCCCTCGCATACGTTCCGTGGGCCCACGGGGAGCTCCACCGAAGATCCCAGTGGCGAAGTTCGGATGCGTCCCCGCCGCCGATATCAGACCACCCCTCACACGTTTTCGTGGCCCCATCTGGAGCTCCACGGAAGGGGCAGTTCGCATGCGTCCCCGCCACCCATTTCGGCACACCCCTCACACTCTTCGTGGCCCCATAGGGAGCTCCACCGAAAGTCCCAGCGGCGTTGTTCGTGTGCGTTCCCGCCACCCACCACGCTTCGTGGCCTCATCGGGAGTTCCGCAGGGGGTCCCAGTGGCGCAGATCGCATGCATCCCCCCTGCCCATCTCGGCACACCCCTCACACATTGCGTGGCCCCACAGGGTCCCAGTGGCGCAGTTCGCACGTGTCCCCGCCACCCATTTCTTCGGCACAACCCTCACACGCTTCGTTAATTACCCTGTAGGGAGCTCCACCGAACGTTCCGGTGGCGCAATTCGCATGCGTCCCCGCCACCCAGTTCGGCACGTCCCTGACACGTTTCGTGGCCCCACTGGGAGCTCCACCGAAGTTCCCAGTGGCGCAGCTCGCATGCGTCCCCGCAGCCCACTTCGGCACGCCCCGCACAGGCTTCGTGGCCTCGTGGGAAGCTCCACCGAAGATCCCAGTGGCCCAGTTCGCATGCGTCCCCGCCACCAATTTCGGCACGCCTCTCAGACGCGTCGTGGCCCCATAGGGAGCTCCACCGAGGGTCCCCGTGTTGCAGCTCACCCCTCACACGTTCCGTGGCCCCACGGGGAGCTCCGCCGAAGTTCTCAGTGGCGCAGTTCGCATGCGTCCCCACCACCCAGTTCGGCACAACCCTCACACGTTGCGTAGCCTCATACGGAGCTCCACCGAAGGTCCCACCGGAGCAGTTCGCATGCGTCCCCGCCGACCTTGTCGACACACTTTTACATGTGTCCCCGCCACAAGATTTCCCACAATCCTCAAACGTTTCGCGGCCCCATCGGGAGCTCCGCCGAAGATCCCACTGGCGCAGCTCGCATGCGTCCCCGCCACCAATTTGGGCACACTCCTCACACTCTTCGTGGCCCCATGGGGAGCTCCATCGAAGATCCCAGTGGCACAGTTCGCATTCGTCCCCGCCACTCATTTCGGCAAACCCCTGACACGTTTCGTGGCCCCACGGGGCGTTCCACAGAGGGTCCCAGTGGCGCAGTTCGCATGTGGTTCCCCGCCCATCTCATGTCCACTTCGGCTCACTCGCACACGTTTCGTTGCCCCACGGGGAGCTCCACCGAAAGCCTCAGGGCCAGGGTTCGCATCCGCTTCCCCGGTCACCGCATGTCTATTTCGGCACACCTCTCACGTGGCCCGATCGGGGGGCTACTGAAGGCCGCAACGACAGGGTTCACATGCTGCACCCCGCCCACCGCATGTCCATTTCGGCACACTACTCACACGTTTCGTGGCCCTAAAGGGAGCTCCACCGAATGCCCCAATGCCAGGGCTCGCATACGGCTCCCCACCCACTGCATGTCCACTTCGGCGCGCCCCTCACGCTCTTCGTGCATGGCCCCATAGGGGGGTCCCCTTCCTTCCTCTCAACTCCCTCGCGGTATGCACCTTTTACCCACGCAAGAGGAGCCCAGTGGCAGAGATCAGAGAGACGACAGGACACGACGACGAAGATGACGGACGTCAGACGAACGACGAGGCCGCGGGGGGTGGCATGGGGGGAAAGGCGACGGGCGGGGCGCGCGCGCCCGCACACGCATTTGCTCACAGCGCCAGCCGGGGCCCGCGCAACACCCGGGCGGCAGCTGGCGGTAGCGGGGGCCGGCCGCGCCAGCTCGCCGCGCCAGCCCGCCGGCGCGCTAGACCACGCCGTCGCTGGGCACCGAGCCTGATTTCAAAGTCTGCAGCACCGCCGCGGCCGCGGACGCGACTGCCGCAAGGCCAAGCGACCCCCTCAGACCGCGCGCCGCGGCTTCCAGCTGCAGCGCTGCCTCCTCGGTGCCAGGGAAGGCGCGCAAGGCGGCCGCTGCTCGCAGCGCCGCCGCCTGCCCCCCGCACGCGGGATCCCCGTACTGATCCGTTGCGGCGGGCGGCTGTCCGCCTCCAGAGGCGGCGGCCGCCGCCCTGGCGGCGCCAGAGGCCGGTGTTCCGTGCTCCTCGCTCCAGCCCGGTGTTCTCTTCGTCAGCGTCCGCCTAGCGCTCCCCGCGCCGCTCGACATTTGGCGGCGCCCGTGGAGGAGTCGCCACCGCGATCGCCGCCCGCGGCGGCGCCACGCGGGGTGGCCTCTGGCGGGGGCGGCACGGCGGACGGAGCAGGACCCCCCTCTGGACCGCCGTCGACCACGGCTGCGAGCAGTACTTCTGTCCATATCCACTGCAGTATGGGGTTCCGGGCTCTCTTGCCCAGAAACCCGAGGCGCACTGGATATGGAAAAATTTGCCCCGTACAGGCTCGATTTCTATCCATGTCCAGTGCACCTCGGCCTTGTGGCGCCCCTTCCAAAAAGATCGAAGGCGCACTGGATATGGATATACATCTTGCCCGCAACGGCGTCCAGCGACAGGGACGGCATCCAGGCGCAGTCGCATGTGGCCTCAATGCCATGATCCCCCACGTCCGCTGGCAGGGTGGGCACTGCCGGGTGCAGGTTCGTCGCCCCACCGCGGGGGCCCGCGAGGCCAGCCTCGGCGCCCCGCGCGCGCCGCGAGGCTCCGTCGCCCCCCGCGGGGGCCGGTCCCAGCCTCGCTGCCGCAGGCTAGCCCGGCGGGCTCTGCAGTGAGGGGCCCTCCCAGCGAAGGAGCTGAGAGTTCCGCGCAGCCGCAAGGACCTGCTCCGAGAGACGCCCGTGGCCCAGCAGCACCAGCCGCTCGCGCGAAGCGCTGCTTCCACCACCGCCGTGGGCAGCGCCCCGCCCGAGCGCGGTGCGTCACCTCCCCCTTCGGTGCTGCTGGAGCTGTAGCCGCTGGGGGGGGGCTGTCGCTCTCCTGGAGGAGCTGCTGCCAGGCCGGGGTCGCCCGCGCCGCGGGCGCCGTCGCCGGGGGGGCACCCGACTGGGCTGGGGGCGCGGCCGCGGCGCTAGCGTCGCCGAGGTCGCCTGCCCGCCTCGGGGAGCGGCGCGCGCTCCCGAGGCCTCCCGCTCTTAGCGGAGCTGGTGCTGATGAGCGTGTTTTCCACCACCACCATAAGTTGGAGGGGGGGGTCCTCCTCCTCCTCCTCCTCCTCCTCCTCCTCCTCCTCCTCCTCCTCCTCCTCCTCCTCCTCCTCCTCCTCCTCCTCCTCCTCCTCCTCCCCCTTCGCCCCATCCAACTTATGGTGGTGGTGGTGGAAAACGCGCTCATCAGGTGCTGTCGCCCCTACTGCGCGCGCGCCGCCGCGGGGGGCTCGCTCGCGCCGCGCCGCGCCGCCGTTCCCCTCGTTCGGGGGGCCGCCGTCGCGCCGCCAGGGCGCTGGGCTGCCCGCGCGCGCCTGGCGCCGGCGCAGGCGGCGCGCCGTCGCGGCTGGCCCCGGGTCGCGGCGCGCGGTTCCTCGCAGGTCTGGGCCGCCGCCGTCGCCTTCGACGGGAGAGGAATCGGGGCCCTCTCGCCGTCCGCCAGCGCATCGGCCGCGCTCTCGGCCTCCGCGAGGGGGTCATCGGCACCCTCGCGCCGGCCGCCGGCGCGAGCGCCTTCGCCAGATGCGTCGCCGGTGCTGGTGGCTGCCTTGCTGGCCTGGCCGCTGGTCTGGCCTTCGGGGAGGCGGCGTTCCTCCTCGCCGCGACCCGCCGGCCTTGTGCCACCGTCTGCCGGGGCTGCTGCTGCGCCAAGGCGGCGTCATCTCCGTCGGCCTCCCCGGGCCCAGGCGGCGCCAGGGGCGCCTCGCCAGCTCCTTCCTCTCGGGGGCGGAAAAGAGGGGGGTGATGACTAGGGGGGGTGGATGTCATGGCGTGGGCCATGATATTTCCCCAGATGTCATGGCGCTTCTTCTTGTTTCATTACGTCCCTGGCCCCCCCGCTGAGCCGCGCACATGCCGCTGGTCATGATTTGCACCCCCCCCTCTTGGACACCCCCCTCTTGGCCGCTCCCGATCATCTTCTGCCACCGGCACCCGGGGCCCATCCTGCGCCGCCGTGGAGTGGGACGGCGCACCCTGCCGAGACGCAGCTCTGCGACAGCGGCGCGCCGCCATCTGTGCGCCGGCCGCGCGCCAGAGGCCACTGCAGGGCCAGCCGCCCAGCTGGCCTCTCGAGCCTCGAGCCTTGCACAGTTATTCTGCACGAGCGAAATGGGCACGGAAAGAATGGGTACAATGCCCAACAGCAGTTCCTGTTCATTTTGAACAAGACTCGCTGTCCACGCCGCCGCGGCCTGTGTCCATTCGAGACAGACGGCCGCCTGCCCAACAGCGGCCGCTGTTGGTTTGGGACAACATTTGTTGCTGGGCATTGTACCCATTCTTTCTGTGCCCATTTCGGGCGTCCAAAGTTTTGCAGATGGTTGGGCTGGGATAACTTACGTGGAGGCGAGTGGCCTGGACTTGGTATTTTTGCGGTGCCTTCGGGGTCTGCACGGGTGGCTGGCTGTTTGCGCCGACACCTTTTTGGGAAAGCTTTCGAGAGGGCCCAAGGGGTCAGTCGACATTTAGCGCGCCGCGCACCTCTCTGCAAGCAGAAGGGGGCGGCATATCCAGCGACCTTCGGCCCATCCCGCCATTGTTCGCCATGGTTGTAGGTCAAGGGGCAGTGGTCACGGTCACAGGCCCACAGAACCCCACGGAGGCCCACAAGAAGTTCCCAAAATGGCCTCAAGGAGGTCCCAGAAGAGGCCCTCGCTGAACCATTCCCTGGGGCACGCCTGTATTCCCGACCATATTCCTTGTTCCTGGAACCGCCCACTGTGACTTTACAGGGAAATTGACGGTCTTCACATAGGCAATTCGGCTGGCCATCGCGGAGGATTTAATCGTGTTGTGTTGCACCCATGGCCCACTTAAGCATCAATGGCGTTCGCTCGAGCACACGCGCGTGGCTGACACCATCATGTGTATATGCATGTTCCGAGATGTTTGCGCCCAACGATTGCGGTGCTCGCTTGGTTCAGTACATTGAGTGGTTGCCCGACTCGGATGGTAGGTCGCCGAAACGAGGCGCGAGCTGGGTCGCACCCCGGCCAATCGGCCGATCTACCTCGCCTCCTGTTCGTCATTGTGAACTCATTACCCTTGTTCCTGCTGCTGATGCGTCCCTTGCTTCTTATTTCGGTCAGACGGAAGGTGTGGATCGACCCTTTGCCCGACGAGGAAAACCTGAAGGCTCGGCGACTTTTGCCGTGGCTGGCCGGGGCATCTTTCTTCAGGGCTTTTACGTGTGGGATATGAGAAGTGGGAAGAGGAAGTGAAGGAGAAAGGGAATGGAAGTGAGGAGGACGAATGCAAGGAGAGACGAACGATCAATAGGGGGAGGAAGGGATGGGACTGAATCTGGGGGGGAAGAGAATGTAATGAGAAGCGTGGGAAGGAAGGGAAGGGGGAGAAAGGACGGGGAAGAAGGGAATGAGGAAAGGGAAGGGAAGGGAGGAAGGGGTCCGGGGGTGAGAAGGGAACGACGGAAAGGTAAGGTAACATGATGGAAACAAGGACGGCTGAAGGACTGGACGGGAAGTGGAATTGGATATGACTCGAAGAGAAGTGAAGTACGTCCATTAACAAGACTCACTCCATCTCTACTGCAGGGCCTGCTCTGGGGCTCCAAAGATCCAAGCCACCATAGGAGCTCGATACGGGCAGGTGCCGCTTGCTCTTGCTCTGTAATGCGCTTGCCCTAGTCAGGGAGTCTCTGGGAGCGGGACCTTCTAGGGGCCCTCCTGGGCCGTCTTGGGGCTTTCTTGGGCTGTCTTGGGGCTCCTTGAGGCTGTCTTCATCTCGTGCCGTCTTTGAGCTCTCTCAGGGCTGCCCGGGCTCACTCGGATACCTCGCGGTAGTGAGAGAGCTCTTTCTTGTTTGAGTTAGCTTCTTCGAGGCTCTCTTGGAACAATCTTGCGCCGAAGAGCTCAGGAAAACCCTACTTGAACAACCAAAACATGAACATTCCGTTTGTTTTCAGTGGTTCTGGTTCTCCTGGACGTCCTAGTGTTGTTTCTGGTGTCTGGGTCGCTTGTTGACGCCCATTGGTGCCTCTTCTTTTGTTTGTTGATGCTGCTGGTGCCTATGAAGGCAATGTCGGGCCATCTTGGCGGCCTTGGTGTCCTCCCTGTGCCGTCTTGCTGGCCCTGAGCAGATTTGGTGAGCCACAAGGAGGCGCCAGCGCGGCTTGCTGAGACTCGAGAGGGAGGGCCAGTGCACGCACTTGTGAGCGTGTCGAGAGTTCGGGGGGGGGGGGCTTGCAGTTGAGATCGGTAGTATGAATGGGGTAACACTCCCAAGGGTACCCTTGCATCCTTGCCTCCTCCGTTTCTCCTCAAACTCCTTTCGATGGCCGGCCCCACTCGAAAAACTTCGACACGGGGTCCCAAGGGGCCTGCACAACATACTTACCGACGCCGCACCAGGCAGCACCCGGCATGCTACCACGCCCGAGCCTGTGCAGGGGCACGGTGGCAGGTACGAGATCGAAGGGTTAGGATGGTTAGACAAATTTAATGAATCAGAAGCGTCAAAGTACCCATCGGTCGTTGAAAGTAGGTATTTTTGGATTCTCGGATTCCAATCTACTTTCAGCGCCTTCCTACTTCAAGGGTCGAGTGGCTTTCCCTCTTCCCTCCTCTTCAGGAGGCGGGGCGGAAACCCAATCTATTTCCAACGCCTTCCTAGTTCATGTTTCTACCTACTTCTTCCGACCGATGGGTAATGAATCAGAAGCGTCAAAGTAAGGCAGGATGCTTAGAACGATTTGTTGAGTTAGAAGAGTTTTGTATTTGGAGCAGTTGGGGCTACAGTGATAGTCATCCAGGAGGAAGGTAGCATGTTGTAACATTAGCAACATTTGAAGAGAGAGGGTTAGAGGGGTGTGAATGGTCAGCATATTCAGAGTAAGACTATTTTGGATAGTTTGACTGGCTAAACATGTGCCTGGGTTGTGGGTTAGAAACCTAGTGGATGTTCGTTGGAATCTCGGGGGCCTGTTGGAGGCGGTTGTGAGGCCTCTTAGGGGACCATTTTGTGGCCTTCGTGGCCTTTTGGAGGCCTCTTGGGGTCTCTTGGGGGCCTCTGGAGGCCCTTTGGGCCTCTTGGGCGCCTCTTGGGGCCTCCTGGGAGCCCCTTGGGGGACGGAAGGCTCGGATTTTCGGTTCGTGTTCCCTCTCTGGGGCCCCTTTTAGGGCCGTCTTCGGGCCCTCTTGGGCCGTCTTGAGGCGTTCTTAGGCCGTCGTGGTGGCCTCTTTGGCTGTTTTGGGGTGGAGCGTCGGATCGCCGAAAAGGCGAGAGCGCCAAAATCCTGCAAAAACGCCGGGAACATAAATGGTTCTTGCCTTCGGGGCCCTCTTGGGGGACCTCTTGGAGACCTCTTGGGGCGCCTTGTTGGACAGCTCCAGGGAGGCGCCATGGCCGCCCAGGGACCCCCTGGGACTTTGGCCGGTGCGCACGGCGAGCTGCGGCCCAGACGGGGGGCGAGTTCCCTAGAAGATTACAAAAGCCCTACCAGACAGCACTTGGCATTCTAGCATGCTTCAACGTGCAAGGGGGGCACGGTGGCGGATTGCGAAGGCCTTACGGCCGGCGGCGGCGCCGACGACGACGCTGCTGACGTGGGCCAAAGTCCTGAGGGTTGTTTTGGGGGGGTTCACTCTTCGGAAGGCTCTCGTGCGCCTCTGGGGAGGAATTTTGGGGCATCTTGGGAGCCTCTTGGGGGCCTCTTGGGAGTCTCTTGGGGGCCTCTTGGGGCCTCTTGGGGACTCTTGGGGCCTCCTGGGAGCCTCTCGCGGCCGAGGGCTCGAAATGTCCATTCGGGTCCCCCGTCTGAGCACGCTTTTGGAGCCGTCTTGGGGGCCTCTTGGGCCGTCTTGGAGGCGTTTTGGGCCGTCTTGAGGTCCTCTTGGGCTATTTTGGGGCCTTCTTGGAGGCCTCTTGGGCCGTGTTGGGGCGATCTTGGGGGCCTCTTGCGCCGTCTTGGAGCGGCGGGAAGTGGAAAAGGCGAGAACGCCCAATAAAAAAAACCCAACGGGGATCTATGAGTTTGGCCTCTTGGGGCCCTCTCAGGAGTGCTCTGGGAGGCTTCCTGGGGCGTCCTGGAGGCCTCCTGGGCAGTCTGGAGGGCGTGAAGGCGTGTTGGGCCGATCGGTTGGCGATTGGGAGCCCTCTTGGACCGTCTCGGGTGCCTCTTGGGGCATTCTTGGCCTGTTTTGGTACTTGTTCAGGCCCCAAGATTCACGAGGGGGGATGTGTATCTGATCCCCCCGGGACCTCCCTTGGACCCCCCCCGTGACCCTTCTCCTCTACCCCCCAGGACCCCCCCCCCACGGGGTCGGCTTTACTTCTGCTCGATTGCGATATTGCTGAATGTTAATCTCGCTGACCAGCTTGTGGAGGAGGGTGCAGGGAAAGGGGACGACAGAGATGACGACAGACGGCGACGACGACTCGAACGGACAAGCTCCTCACATACGCCAACAGGGTCGGCAGATGTGATGTTCGATTCCGACGCAAATCGAGAATCAATTCGACAGCGGCCGCCTCCCATCGCCAATGTTCTCACTCGAACGGTGGCCGTCTAGACGTCACTGATGAGTTGCCCAGTTGTGGATACAATGTTATGTGTTATTCTACGGATTTCTGGATTTGCGGTCGTAGGGCAATCCCCCACAGTACTCATTATATTTGCTGGATTTTAGAATACGGCCTCTTATGCAATATTGAAGTGGAGGGGGGATTTCGAATCATATCAGTGGGAGTCACCGCCGCGTCCTCCCTTGGGCCCCCTTGTCATTGCGAACTTTCCCTCCCCGCAGGAGCTCAGCCCTTCCGTGCCTTCCGAGCAGGTGTTTTCCCATTTCCGCCATCTTTTTTGTTCATCATCCGTCCTCCCCTCATCCCCCCCTCTCTCCCTCGCGTTCTGACGTCTCAATTGCGCCTCCTCCGACAGCAGCCCCCGCCCAAATTTCAGTCCCACCACATCCTCCTCCAGAGTAGGTGGAGGGCAGGGAGGAGGAGCAGGTGGAGGAGAAGGGAAGGATGATGAAGAAGAGGAGGAGGACGAGAAGGAGGAGGAGGAGGAGGAGGAGGAGGAGAAGGATGAGGAGGAGCAGGATGGGCACAGTCCGCAGGAAGAGGAGGTGTCTTCTCCGCACTGCGTCTTCCCCGCTTCCCCGCCCCTCCCCCGCTGTAAGTTTCTCTCCCATGCCGGCACGCCAGGAATTCCTCGAAGCTTTTGGCGAGGTCGACGACGTCTTCCGCATCCCGGACATATCGACCGGCGAGCCAGGGGACCCGGCGGCCATCGGGCGACGTCGTTTTTGTTCATTTCTTAGTGGAGGATTGAATTTCCTCAGACAGTCATTGCATTTAGTGGCTCTTCGCTCGGTCTTAGCAGCTGGGTTTTGCGCCATGCGGTCCCACCCATGGGGTGCACACGTCAACAGCTGGGAATCATTAAGTAGGGTCCCGCCCACATGGTGCGCGCCCTTATCGAGCCAGGTAGCTTGCACCGCATGGCTTGAACAATGTGTTTCGCACCACATAGCATGCACCACCTAGCGTGCCCCACGTGGTTTGCATCACATATGTTGCACCACATAACTTGCCCCACATCGCTGGGACCAGGTATGGTGTTCCACATGTACTTCACACTATAGCTTGCACCATACATATGTATGCATATATATATATATATATATATAAATGTTGATGTATGTGTGCATGCGTGCATGCAGGCATGTAGACATGCATGTATGGCTGCATGCATATCTGTGTATACATGTGTATGTGTGCATGTATGTATATGTGTACGTCTGCCTGTATGTATATACGTATGTATGTATGTATGTATGTATGCATGCATGCATGCATGCATGCATGTATGAATGTATGTATGTATGTATGTATTTATGTATGTATGTATGTATGTATTTATGTATGTATGTATGTATGTGTGTATATGTGTATGTTTGCATGTATGTGTGTGTATGTAATTTGTGTCTGTATGTACGTATACATATGTATGTGTATGCATGCATGCATGTATGTATATATGTACATCTGTATGTATGTATGTATGCATGTCTATATGTATGTGTGTATATTTATGTATGCATGATTACAATCATGTATGTGTGTATGGATGTATGTATGTGTATATGTAGGTAGGTAGGCAGGTATGTATGTATGTGCATATGTATGCATGTATGTATGCATGACTGTCTGTATGCCTGTCTGTCTGTCTGTCTGCATGTATGTATGTATGTATGTATGTATGTCTATACATACATATATACTTGTAAATGGGGAGGGGGTCCCGGGGGCCCCCGAGGTCACTGATTCGGTGCCTGGTCGTTTTGGACCCGTCGGGGGGCGCCAGAGCGCGTCAAAGGAGGGGAAGGAGGGCGACGAGAGGGCCTGAGAGACGTCCAAGAAGCCCCAAGATGGCCCAAGAGCGCTCCAAGAGAGCCCAATACCCAAGACCGCACAAGAGCGCTTCAATATTGGTCCAACATCTCTTTAAGATAGCCCAAGAGAGACTCCAGACGGCCAAGATGCCCTCAAAAGGACTCCCACGATACCCTCAGGAAGCGAAACAAGTAGTTTTCGTTCGAATGTGTTTGAAGGTTTTTCGAGTTCTCGCTTTTTCGTGCTTCCGACGGTCCAAGATAGCCCAGGAGGCCCCAGAAATCAGCTGAAGTCGGCCCAAGAGGCAACCAAAGAGCGCGCCAGGACGGCGCAAGAGTCCCAAGACGGCCCAAGAGTACTCCAAGACGGCCAAAGAGGCGCCCAAGGGGGCCCCAAGTGGGGCCAAGTGGGGGAACACGAACCAACAATTCGAGCCTTCCGCCCGAAGAGGCCCCCAGGAGGCCCCAAGAGGCCCCCAAGAGAGCCCAAGAGGCCCCCTAGAGGCACCCTAGAGGCCCCACGAGGCCCCGAAGAGGCCCAACAAGAGACCCCACGAGAACCCCAAACGGCCCCCAAGAGGCATCCAAAACGGCCTTCAAGAGGCCCCTGGGAGGCCTCCCACGAGTTCCAAACGAACTTCCAAGAGGCCTTTAACCCACATCCCAGGCACGGTGGCGGAATGGGCCGAAGGCCATTTGATGGTCCAAGACTCCAGGGCGCCCAAGACGGCCGCCAGGCGGCCCAAGAGGACCCCAAGGTACCCAAGAGGGTTCGAAGTTGTCTCCCAATAGAGCTCGAAGAGGCCAATAAACATGTAGGTTCCATTGGTTTTTGAACAATTTAGGCGTTTCCGCCTGTTCCGCTTGCCGACGCTGCAGAACGCCCCAAGAGGCTCCGAGAATCGCCCTAAGACGGTCCAATAGGTTTTAACAGCGCCGCAAGACGGCCCAATATTTCGGTTTCAAAAGCGCCGAAGAGACGTCCAAGACGGCTTGAGAGGGCCCCAAACCGCGGCCCAGGATCGGGAAAGTGAACCGAGAACCCGAGATCTTCGCCCCAGGAGACCCCCAGGAGGCTTCAAGAGGGGCCCAAGAAGCCTCAAAGAGGCCCAAAATAGCTTCGAGAGAGGCCCCGACTCCACTTGAGACAAACGTGATGTCCAACAATTCTTTTTGTTTGAGTTCGCCTGGCAGTTCCTCTACGCTTGCAAAAAAGGAAATATTGTATTTCATCCTCCTCCTCCTCCTCTTCCTCCTCCTCCAGTTCCTCGTCTGCGGCCTCCTCCACCCTCTCCAATTCCTCCTCATCCTACTTCTCCTCGTCCCTCCTGGAACCCCTTCACCTCCCCTTCTCCTCACTCTTCCTCCGGCTACGTCCAGTCGCGACGAATAAACGGGCCTCCGAAGTGCCTTCTGGGCCTGTCTGAAGCCGTCGTGGGTGGACCGTAGGAAGTCTTGGAAGCCATTTAGGCCGTCTTCGTGATTCTTGGAAACCTTGGCGAAGAAGTGCCATGGAATAGAGATCCCCAAGAGTTTGACCATCCAGCATAGCTAGAACTTGAGCACGCGCAAAGTGTGCGCGATAGTTCTAGTACATGCGTATACACATATACACATACATATATGTTTATATATATGTATATATATATACACACTTACATATGCATATATACATATGTATACATATATATGCGTATATATACACATATATATACATATGCATACATATATATATGTATATACGATTAACGCATCTATACATATAGGTGTGTGTACATACACATGCATGTGTGTATACATATAGATCTATATAGGAGTAGGCTGGAGGAGGGCCTGGAACTGCTGCCTCTGGTTCGTAGTATAGGGGGCCGGGGGGGGCATTGAGGGCTCCAAGAGGGCCCAGAAGGGGCCCCAGACCCCCCCAGAGGCTCCTAAGCTGGCCCAAGAGGCGCCCAAAGCGCCCCAGGTTGTCTGGAAGGTGGCTGAAGAGCGAAATGAGATGGCTTCTGGACGGGCCACGAGCGCTCGAAGACGGCCCAAGACTGCTGCTAGACGGCCACAAGGGCATTCAAAACGGTCCAAGAGGCCGCCGAGAAGGCCCTCCAAGGGCAAACATCAAGCATTTCCTATGGGAAAACGCGTATTTCGTTGATATTTGCGTATCAGTCCTACCAGCGGCCGCGACGGCCCCAGAGGCTCCAAAATGGCTCCAAAATGAGCCCCAGAGGGCCCATAAGGCCCCCAAGAGGGCCCCCAGACGGCCTGAAGAGAGCTTCAAGCAGTACAAGAGAGCCCCAACACGGCCCAAGAGAGTACCCAGGGACCCCGAGGGGGCCACCCGAGGTTCCCTACATGGTCGGAGAGGGCCCCCAGAGGGCCCCAAGACGGGCTCAGGTCCCCATGGCGGGCGAAGAGGGATCCGGAACGGGCCAACAAAGGCCCCAGAGGATCTGCCACAATGCTTCCCAAAAAGGCTCCCGGCACGCGTTCCAGTAGGCACCCCTTTACTGGGTGCGCTGAGAAAAGGGAGGAGGAGGAGGAGGAGGAGGAGGAGGAGGAGCAGGAGGAGGAGGAGGAGGAGGAGGAGCAGGAGGAGGAGGAGGAGGAGCAGGAGGAGGAGGAGGAGGTGGGAGAGGAAGAGGAGGAGGCGGAGGAGGAAGATCAGGAGGACGAAGAGGGGGAAGAGGGGGAAGAGGAGGAGGGACACTGTTCTTGTAATATTATCTTGTTCTCTCATTCTCTGGCTGGGGGAGGGATGCTGAGGACGAGGAGGGAAGGGGAGCGCATGATGAAGAGGGCTTGAGAGGAGGAAGGAGGTGAAGGAGGTGAAGAAACACAAGGAGGGACACACCGAAGGGCGGGGAAGACAGGGAGGAGGAGAAGGAGGAGTAAGAAGAGGAGGGGGAGGAGAAGGAACAGGGATCCCTTTCAGCGCCGACGAGGAAAAGGATGAATTTAAGATAGTGGGAAGAGGGAGAACGGGAAGAGGAGGAGGGTAAGGGGACTGCAGTGGACCGGAGATGATGACGGCGGTGACGCTGATGATGATGACGATGATTATGCCGACGACGACGCCGACGACGACCAATAAGATGTTGATGATGCGGATGATGATGCTGCAAAGTACGATGACGATGATGGCGATGGTGATCACGATGCTGATGATAGTGGTGATAATGCTGATTGTTGTGATGGTGATGGTGAAGGTGACAATGACCATGACGATGACGATGAAGATGACGGGGATGAGGATGACAATGATGACGATGATCATGACCCTAGCTAGAACTTGAGCGCGCGCGAAGAAGCGCGCGCGATGGTTCTAGCATGTATATATTTATAGAGAGAGAGAGAGAGAGAGAAAAAGAGAGAGAGAGAGAGAGAATGGCCGAGGGCTCGAAATGTTGTTTCGTGTTAACCCTCCGGGGCCTCTCTTGGGGCGTTCTTGGGGCCTTCTTGGGCCGTCTTGGAGTCGTCTTGGGCGGTTCTGGAGCCCTCTTGGGCCGTCTTGGGGCTCTCTTGGGGCCCTCCTGGGCCCTCTTTCTGCGATCTTGGGGACCTCTTGGGCCGTCTTGAGGCGTCGGGCAGCCGAAAAGGGGGAAACGCCCAAATCTGTCCAAAACCTAAGGGCAATCCATACATTGTACCTCTTGGGGCCCTGTTAGGAGTACTTTTGGAAGCCTCTTGGGGCGTCTGGGGGCAATCTTGGGCATCTTGGAGCGATCTTGTGGCATTTCGGAGCCCCTCTGTTCTATCTTGGGGGCCCCTTGGCCCTTCTTGAGGCTCTCTGGAGGGCCTCGAGGGCGGCGCCCACCCGACCCGACCCGGCCGGGGATCTCTAACCCGACCCAGCCAGGGACCGCCCGGGGTATTTTTCGTCCGGGGACCCCCAGGGGCCGCTCCGCGCGCGCGCGAAGTAGAAATACTTCACGCAGTTACCGGAGATCTTAGCACGCCTCTGGCCCGTTGGGACGGCGATTTTTGATTTTTTTGCAAGGGCATGGGTATTTGGCCGCAGGCAAGAACTGAAGAACCCAGGAACTTGTAGCATGCCCAGAAACGCAGGACCAGGAACCGGGAAGCCTGACACCTTCCGAAGTGGCCCGCAATTTTTGCCGATTCTTTCAGTCTCCACGAGGGCCTATTCAGTGCAAGCTCTGATTGGAGAATTACTTTGTGCTCTCAATAGGTCTGTTGTTCGTTCTCTCTCTCTCTCTCTTTATGTTCCTACCTATCTGTGTAGATATGCAAGCGTATATAAAGATATCCTATCTCTCTGCCTCCTCCTTTCTCTATCTCTGTTATTGAGTCCTTCTACAGTGTACATGCAACAGTATATATATATATATATATATGTATGTCTGGATTTGTCCCAACCCCGTCTCTCTTTCTCTCTTTCTCCCTTCATCTGATTATCTCTCTCTCACACTCTCTCTTTCTCTTTTTCTCTATGCCTATATAGATCTGTCTATACATATATATATGTGTGTGTTCCTTTCTCTCTCTCTATCTCTCTCTCTTTCCCTACGATTTTACCTGCCCTCTCTCTCTCCTGCTGTCTACCTTCTCAAGTCGTTATGTTTTTTTGTTGTTCTCTCTCTCTCTCTCTTCTCTCTTGGCGGGCGGTGGCCGGTTTGTCCCTGCCGCCGGAAGTGTTGCGCTGCCCTTATCCACGTCGCCCTTGTGATTCATTGAGTGCCGCTGAGCTATCGCTGTACCTTCCGCGTGGGATCACGTCATCCCCGGATCCAGAGGTTTTCCTTTGACGTTGGGAGATGGGAGTACCTCGGCTGCCTCCAGGTCGCAGAGAGGAGGCGCAAGTAGGAGGAGAGGATCTAGGAGGAGGGAAAGGAGGACGGGAAAGAGAAGGCGGATCAGCAGCATCATCAGTAGAAGTGCGCAGGACGCAGGATGCAAGCTGAAGTGCAGCCGCCAAGAGCAGGAGAGGCAGGAATATTTGAACGGCTTGGAATGCGAGGAGGGTCATACTGATGAGTTTGATGATCAGGAGGAGGAGCAGGACGAGCAGCGGCAGAAACAGCAGCAGCAGCATAATACATAGGAACACAATGCAGGTCGCATGATCCAGGTCAGGAGCAGCATGCTATGCGCATTCAGGAGCACGATCGGGAGTGAGAAAGGGACCTTTGCCGAAACTCAGGCCCTGGGTTGGGGCTGACAGAGGAAGCGGAAGGAGGTAGGGAGAGAGGAGGCGGTGCCGAACTACAACATACTTCGGAACAGTGCGAGTATAGTAACAAGCGGCAAATGCCCTCTGCTCCACCTCGCCAACTGGAGACCCAGTCTATTACACTGCGTGCATTAGGAGAGTGGGAGAAGGAAGAGGATGAGACACGGAGCCGCATGAGATGTGAGACGTTTGTCTACGACAGCCCAGCTTCCCAGCCAGGGGCACGCACACGTTGAGTGAGGCTGTGCGCACTCACTTTTTCCATCACCAGCAACATGGTTGAGATTGGGAGGAACGCAGGCTGGCGAGTGGAGACAGCACGACGGGGGCATGCGAGAAGAGTTCGGGGCATGGAGTGAAGCCAACGGCGCAGAAGGGCAGTTTGGAGCCTGTCTGCGCATGTTTGCCGATTGGTTGTTGGGATCGCCCGTGCAATTTCCGATTCGCGGTGGCGAAGGAGGCCTGAGTTTGAATTTGCATGGAAGTTTCTTGTTTTACATACTGTTTTATGCTTTGGCGTTTAGCTGCCGTCATCGGCGAGTAGGGGGTGATTGGTGGACGGTTGGCGCGGGGCGTGTGCTGCCATTTGCCGCTAACCGGTTGACGCTGTTTGCAGTTAATGTGCCAACATGTTGGTTCAGATAGGCTTCCACTAAAGAGGGAAAACGTGAGGAGGCGGAGTGAGCGGATCGGGAGGGAGTCAAAGACGAGCCTCTCACGCCGCAGGACAGAGGTTACGTGAGATTCAAGGAGCACGATTCCGCTGTCCGCTGCGTTGAGAAGGGCTCCCGGAGCAGACTGCGCAAAGCCTCCCTCCGCCTCCTTCGCTGGGGGCCAGGAGTGTGAGGGACGATGAGGAGGAAGGAGCAGTTAAGGTTGAGGAGGAGGACGAGGGGCTCGAAAGTGGATCTAAACACCAGTACTGACCCCATCTACTTGGACACATCAACGAGCTCGTCTGGAGAAGAAGCTGCATCACATGACGCCGAAAGTGTCGATCCTTCGCGCAATGTAATGTTTCGAATGGGTCGGCGTCGGAAAGAGAGGGAGCGGATGGGAGGGTTTGTGGGCACCAGCAGATGCTGGTCCACCAGCAGGTGCGCAAAGTCGGAGGTTGGGGGGTGAGATCGCAATGGAACGGAGAGCGCCCCTCCAGGAAATCGGTTTCGGTTTCGTGTTCGTGCCTTGCGTGCTGGCGAGGCGAAGCTGCGTGGACGCGCGAGAGGACTGACCCCGCCGTCGCTAGGGCGATTCGAATGCAGTGGACCGCCCCTCCACCGCCGGTGGGCGCGCGGTGGCCTGGGGCGTCCCGCCGCGGTGTCCTGTGGTGTCCCGTTGGCGTCCCGTTGGTGTCCCGTCGGTGTTCCGTCGGCGGTGGGCGGGCGGTGGCTGGGGGTGTCCCGCCTTGGTATCGATAGTGAAGGCGATAGTGAGATCGATCATGACATCGTTAGAATGGGATGGATAGAGGTCGAAAGTGAGATCGACAGTGGGGTGGATTGTGATTCTGGATGTGACATCGACAGTGAGATATATTGTGAGATCGCTGGCCGCGAGGTCGGTAGTGGGATCGATCGAGTGAGATCGAAACGGGAGACGATAGTGACATTACACCGCAGCGCAACATCGTCATCACGCGTCGTCGCTAACTCGAGGGCGCGTCACCAGCATCGTCATCTTCACACTCATCGCATTTGCCAGCAGTTGGTTATTTCCCCGACCACAACCTCCTTACCACCGAAAGGCTGGTTGTATGGGTACATCATACGATCATTCATCGTTCAGTTGTCGCAGACAGACCGTCCGACTCGATGAGGTCTTCCAGCGCCAGCGCAACCACCACCTCTCGAGGCACTGGCTTAATATGTCGGGCCCTTCCCGGGAGGCCCAAGGCGGCCCTCAGGAGCCTCTTAATCGTCAGGATCAGACGCGTCTCCCAGAATCTCCTCCGAGAGCCGACGCTCCTCCCGCCCTGGTGATTCCGAGGTTGAGGTATGAGGAGAAGGAAGCAAGATATGTTCCTCCGGTCTTGAGCCAAAACAGTTCAGGAATGCTCTCTGCGGAAACCCGAGCCAAGGGGCGGGGTCGCTCCATTTGTGAATCGGAATCCGTGGGAGGTGGGCGAATACCGCACCATCCCCCTAGTCGCTCTCACCACTCCATGCACTAAGCTCGCTTCTCTGTGTCATCAATACGTCGCTCGCACCGAGTCCGTGACATATGCATCTCTCTCTCTCTCTGGACTCATGTGTGTATATATATATAGGGATCGCCACTGCGCAAAGGGCCCGAGAGGAAGCCTAGGTGACCGGAAAACGATCACCACCATTTGGCTACTCTGTTCTGTAGTGCAACTATGTGCCTCTAGCCGTTTCAGAATCTAGTGCCATTAATTGGAACACGACGTGTCTTGTGAACGTGGCCAAAATTCTGGACAAGATGTGTCACGAATTACGGCCCACACACGGAGGGGGAGGGAGGAAATAGGAGGGAGAGGAGGGCACGCGGTACGCAGGGGATGGGGTGGGAGGCGAGGATCAGGAGGAGAGAAGAGAGACGGGAGAAGGAGGGGAGGGGAGGGGCAGAAGGAGAGCGGAGGATGGAGGCCGGGAGGTGACCTCTGTTGGGCAGGAGGTGCAGTTCGCTAGCACTCTCCAGGCCCCGCCCTCGACATTTGGGCACCTGACTGAAGCCACCAGGAGAGTCGCGCGCAAGAACGAGCCACGAGCGCTCCCGCGTGGTGGACGCCTCGCGGCGTGACACCGCACCACCACATCCCCCCTCGCGCTGCCCAGGGCTGTCCAGACTGCCAATTCCCGGGGGGGGATGGGCGACATGGTGGCCTCCCCAGCCATCGGGGGGGCACCCGCGGAGTACGCCCAGGAGGGTGTGCACCTGGCCCTGGTTGGCTGCTCCCCCGCCGACCCCCGCGCCCGCCCGCCCTTCCGCGCCTGCGCCGCTGGCCGCGCCGCGTCTGGGCTCGGACCCGCTTACGCCGCGCGGGCCCGCCTGGGGGCGCAAACAATGGCCGCGCGGATTCCTCGGATCGGCGATGGGCCCCCCTGGCCGCGCCTCAGGCGACGGCCTGGCGCGGTTCGCGCGCCAGGGAGGGGGGTCCAGCGCCGATCCAAGAAATCTGCGCTGACCTTCGCGTTCCCTTTTTTTATGTCAGTGGTTGTTCCCCATACAGTTTTTTCTCCACACGCGCACTTTCTGTTTCCCCCCTTTCTCGCTACCTGGTGTCTCTGGTGTTTGGCTGGCACCTTCGCTTGGACATGGCTAGGTTTATGCACCAAAGCGGCCCCCCGTCTCTCAAAACATCTGGCCAAGTAGGGGGCAGAGCGGTGCGGGCGCGAATTATTCCAGGAGAGCGGGAGAACGGGAGGCCAGCGGAGCAAAGGCTTGAGGGAGGGAGGGAGGGATGATATGAAGAAGGGTGGAGAAGAGGAACGGGAGGAGAAGAAGGACGTCGGAGGAGAGGATAGGGAGCGAAAGCAAGGGGCTCGGAGAAGAAGGGCAGGGAGGGAGACGACGGGGAAGCAGGAGGCAGGAGATGGAGCAGGAGGATGGGATGTAGAATAGGGTTGGGGAGGGGAGGGCGGGAGGGAGGAACGGTGTGGTGGGGGGGATCGAACAAGGATGAACAGCAGTTCTTCTCGTGACCCCTGCAGCGGCGAGTCAGCCTACCTGCTCAGCGTGCCTGCGCGACTGGGCCTTGAAAGCCGAGTGCGGTACGCACCGGGCCAGTCAGGCAGCCTGCAGGCTGCTCGAGCGGGCCGTGGAGCTCAATACTGAGGGGAGTAAAACGCAGGCCCTCTCGCGCGCCGGAGGAGGCCCACCACGCGAGGGAACCTGGTGCTCTTGTGGGGACGCTCGTTCACCAGCAGAGTGCTCCTCCGAGTCTTTGCTCTCCGGTCCCGCGGCACGGTGACCACGGTGCAGAGGCGACAGGGGAGCACCGGGAGGAGGGAGCGGAACCGTGCTCATCGACCCCCCCCCCTTGTGTTCCCCCCCCAGGCCTCCCCGCCCGCCCGCGGGCGCGCGCGGAGGGCGCCCGCGCCCTGCGAGGCTCTGGCACGTGGTCCGAGTCCGAGCGTGCCCTGACGTCGCAGAGCGCCCGTCACGGAGGCCGGAGACGGGGGGGGGCCTCGCGCGGGAGGCCAGCTGGATCACCGCGCTCGTGGTCCCAGCCCAGTGGTCTTCGCGCTCGTCGGCGTCGGCGTCGTCATCGTCGTCGTCGTCGTCGTCGCCTCCCCAGCCCAATCGCGCAGCTCTGGGGGAAGGCAGTCCTCCCAGACAGCAGGCGCACATGCAAGTCTTTTCTCGCCCGTATCTCCACTGTCATCTCACCCACTGTGTGGGCATTTCCCTCCAGCTGAAACTTTAGAGCGTCCCCCCCGCCTTGGAAAGTCGGCGAACTCAAAGTTGGTGCTGAGAATGCGCGGATGCAAATTGTCACTTCGGTCGTCGCGCCGCGCAGGTGGGTCTCCCCGAGCACACGGCCGACAGCGCGCATGCGGCTTGGCACTCCGCGGCATGCCGTGGCGATTGAGAACAACACCGTGGGAGGGCTGTGGCGATACACGAGTGGCGGATACGTTTTATCCCGCAGGACCCATGTGCCACGGCACAGATGACGCGCACACCAGCCACCCGGCCAAATCTGTTTGCCACTGAAGACGGTGTAAGAGACAGCAGCGTGGTGTTGCTGGAAGGGTCAATTATAGCGCAATGATAGTTCACTGCCATTTGCTGTGGCGCATTCCTTGCCGATTGCACAGCAAACCCTCGACGGGAGAGCCATGGGCCGGCCAGGGCGCGCCCGAGTTGGTTGCGAGATGAACCGCGGATGCGAGTCAGCCGTGGCCACATTGAGGCAGGAGATGACCAGAGGGTAACCGATCGCGGCGCCTGCAGTTCTTTGTTGCCGCAGAGGCCGACACGCGTCTCGCGGAGGTCGACCGACTACGGCTTATTGAGTACGAACTGAAGATGCGCAGGGCTCGCAGTCGGTTTGATAAGCAGCACATTGAAGCGCCCATCACTGAGTCGCAGGTGATCGCCGACAGGGGCTGATTCTACGAGGACGCGCTGCAGTGCTGTGTGCGTGTGTGTGTGTGCGACGGGTCGGGGCGCGGTATCAGGGTGTCCGACGCCGAGCGGACAGAAGTGTTCCGACACGCTGAATCTGAGGTGTTCAAACCGTACGCAATCCAATGGTTGTTCAGTACATGTTTGCCAGAGGTTCATGATTTGTGCGGGCACGCACTTCCTCATCATCCTTGTCAGCCCAATCGCTATCATCATGTCCAGTGCCATCAAGAATATCTTCATCATCATTGTTATCATTGTTGACATCATCGCTACCGCCGTCATCATCGTCGATGCAGTCACCGTCGTTAAATGTTCCGCGCGCGCACTTCATCATCATACTCATCAGCATCGTCGTCATCATCGCCAGCTTCATCGTTGCCACCGTAATTTCAACTCCAGCTCCATCACCATCACCATCGTCGTCATTGACATCGTCCCCATCGTCGTCATGATCATTATCATCATTATCAGCATCATTTGCATAGTCATGCTGTTCATATCAGATCATTTTCACCATCATCACCACCACACGATCATCATCAACATCAGCATCATCGTCAGCATCACCACCATCATCATCATCGTCGTCATCATCATATTATGTGTCATCATCGCCATCGTCATCGTCACCACCACCACCATCATCATCAGCATCACTACCATCACCATCATCAGCATCATCATCATCGTTGTCGCCGTTGCCGTTGTCGTCGCCGCCATCGTCATCGTCATATCGCGCCCTGCAGGGCAGATCTGTCTGTGCTGTTGAGTTCCACATGCCCGTGCGCTTACTGAGAACATGGCCAAATGACTTCAACCAGCGAGCTGTGGGTGGGTGGGTAGGATGGTTGTACGACCATGCCAGGTGGGCTCGCGCGGGTATTGCACAGTTTATTTGAGTTGCACCACATTGTTCGCATTTTGCAGCTTGCTTCACAATTGTTGAACCACCTATCTTGCACAACGTAATTTGCACCACATGTTTTGGACTACAGATCTTGCAATCTTGCACCACCAAGTTTGCTCTACACAGCTTGCACCGCACAGCTTGCATATCCAGAGTGCAATAACTCACTGTTTATGATTCGCGCTGGTTAACACGTAATCACTGTGGCGATCTGTTTGCTTTATCAATCTCCAAGTGGCCTACGCCACTTCGCCGAGCCCCACAAGAAGTGAGTGCTTGAGACGATCGTGGAAGTTATATCTTGGTTCAGGAGTTCACTGGATGAGTCTGAGGGCCTCTTGGGATGCCTCTCTGGGACTTCTTGGAGAACTCTTGGGAACATGTGGGAGGCTTTTTGGGGCCTCGTGGGGGCCTCTTGGGGAGCTCCTTGGGGGGTGTCTTGCAGGCCTCTTTGGGCCTCTTGGAGGGCCTTGGTGGGAAATGGCTCGAAATGTCAGTTGTATTCCCCCTCTTGGGCTTTCTCGGAGCCCTCTTGGAGCCCTCCAGGGGCTGTCTTGGGACGTCTTGAAGGCCCCTGGGGCTGTCTTTGGCCCCTCTTGGTCCGCTGAACTGGCTCCAACTCGCCGACCCTGGCGTTCGAGGACCCGGTCCCTCCATCCACATCCTGGTCCGACGTTGGGTTCCGAGCTTCTCCCATCCACTACCCCTGGTGCCGCGATACCATCGGCACCACCAGCACCAACAACCGACCCGCAGCAGTCCCACAGCAACCTACTCACGCAACAAACTCGAACCACGACCGTCCCGCACCAACCGCCCCCCGCAACAACCTCCAACTGCAGTCGACCCATTGCTGATCCACACCAGACACACGCAACCGCCCCACAACAACCCCACAGCACCCGACCCACGCAACAAGCTACGACGTGGCCTACTTGCACGGACTCCCAGAACCCGAATGCCGCCACACACAGGGTTAATAAGTCCTCTGGTGTGTGCCCGGCGCGCTCGGAGTGACGAGGCGGGCGCGAACGCGACATGGACCATTGGAATTCCTAACCACACGCAACATGCTAGACTCCAGCCCTGCTCCGACAACAGCACCAGCTCCGATCTCAGCTTCGACTGCCAATCGACCCCTTGCCGACCCACCGCACCCGACCCACGCATCAAACTGCGACGAGGCCTCTTTGCACGGACTCCCGAAACCCGAATGCCGCCACACACAGGGTTAATAAATCCTTTGGTGTGTGCCTGGCGCGCTCGGGTGACGAGGAAGGCGCGAACACGGCATGGACCATTGGAATTTCTATCCACATGCTGCATGCTAGAACCCAGCCTTGCTCCGAAAGCAGCGCTGGTTCCGACTTCAGCTTCGACTCCCAATCGACCTGCTGCCGACCCGCAGCCACCGACCCACGCATCAAACTGCGACGAGGCTTACTTGCACGGACGCACGGACGCACAAGGCTGGCATCCCCCCAAATAGGGCGACACGCCGGCGTCCACCCTCGGGGGGCGAGCAAAATCGTGCGCAGTTTCGACTCCAGCCGAGTCCATGGCAGACGCCCTCCCACAATCCATCGGTCACGCGACCGGGACAGCTACAGGCCTGCCAGCCTCAATTGACAGAGTGGATTCCGTGAGCTGCACGACGAGTGCCACGAGCATCACGAAGGAGACCACGCCCACGTCGACCGATACGAGCTACAGCACGACGGGCACCACGAGCTGCACGACAGATGCCATCCGCAGCACGACGGGTGCCAGGAGCAGCACGACGGGTACCACGCGCAGCACGACGGATACCAAGAGCTACTCGTCGACGAGCACTCGGGGCACCGGGAGCAGCACGGCGGATGCGCAGCACGACGGGTACCAGGAGCAGCAAGGAGGGCACTATCAGCAGTACGACGGGTGAGTCACACGGCGAGTTCCACGAGCAGCACGACGGGTACGAGGTGCAGTCCGGCGCGTACCACGAGCAGCACGACGGACACCAGTAGTTGCACGAGCAGCACGGCGGATACCATGAGTTGCACGACGCATACCATGATACGGCGCGCTTTGGTTCTCGTTTGTTGCGCCGGGTCGGGGCCAGATGTAGGCCCGCGGGGCAAATGAATCACACCGCGCATCTCCCTATACACAAATAGGGCTTTCAGAAAGATGTCACGGAAACGGTGTGTCCTTGGTGTATTTCTACACGTAGTGGTGTATTGGTATTTGCCTCGACTGTGCTGCGGCTTTGCAGAGAAACGGTTTGGGCGGGCCGGGGGTCTTCCAGGTGACGCGGGGGCCTCCCCGGCGATGCTGATTGTGCAGGTGCCTGCATGCCGTGCCCGTTGGGGGGGCGCCGGCGTGTCGCACCTAGCGCCGGCACCGACGCCGGCTCCATCGCCCGCGCCTGCGCCGGCACCACTCTTGCTACCACCACCGCTTCAGCCTCCACCATCGACGCTGCCAGCCGCGCGTGCCTTCACTCCAGCTCCGACTTCTGCTCCGGCGCAGACTCCTCTTCCACCTCCGCTTCCCCTGCCGACGCTTGCGCTGGGCCCCCCCCCGGCCCCGCCTCCAACGCCGGCCCCGATTCCAGCACCTACGCCAGAGCAAACATGGGCGCCTACGCCAGCGGCGCTACCAGCACCGACGCCAGCATTCACCCCGGCGCCTGCGCCAGTCCCGACGCAAGCACCTACGCCAGCGTCGACGCCAGCCCTGACACCAACACGAGCTACAGCGCCTACACCAGCGCCGACGCCACCACAAAGCCCAACGCACCGGCGAGCTGCCTAGCTTGAACAGTGGGCAACCGACCCCAGCCCCCACAACTATGGATTCTACACGTCAGCGCTTTGCATTTACATCGAATGAGCGTAAGTGTAGGTGCCCTGTCGGCGAGACCAGTGCCAGCTGCCGCAGGGGGGCCCCGCGCGCGCGGCGACGTCCTGGGCCCGCTCGACGCGGCCGCGCCCGCGCCGGCGCCCCCAGGGCGGCGCGTGCCACGGCCGCGGCTCGCAGTTTGAGGCGACGGCGGCGCTGTCCCTCGCGCGGCAGCGCCGCTGGCCCAGCCGAGGGCCCCCGCGCCCGCCTCCGTCGCCCCCTCCTGACCCCGCCGGCGGAAAAGATTAGAGCGGGAGCGTTTCCCTTAAGGGGGCCGGGCCTCTATATTTTTTTGGAGTTCATGTAGACGCGCTTTTCTGTTTACGGTAGGTTTGCGTCGTGTCGACCAGCGGCGACCCCAGCGCGGGCGTTCAAGGTTGAACGCCTCCGGCGACCCAGAATCGATCGATGTTGAAAGATCGGGCTATTCGGAAACGGCCGATCGTTCAAGGTTGAACGATCCCCGCGGTGTCAGAAACCAACGCCGGGGTCGACACGACGCGAACCTGCCGTATGTGAAGTTTTCGGGGCTCTCCCGCGCGAGTCTTTCTGCCTCGGAAGAATTTAGATTGAGTTTATATGGAATTTATTTTTTGTTCGCCCGATGCCTAAACTATGTTTTTGGGGTGGATCTGAACTTTTCGATGCGAGCCCGTGCAGGGCGGGCCCCTGGCGCCGCGTGGGGCTTCTTGCCAGCGCCGCCAAGGGCCGACGCGCCCATTGGTTTCTACCATGGCACGAGCGCGCGAGTGTCCACAATGGTTTTGGGCATTGACCGCGCGCCTGCGCGAGGGAACGCCATGTTCGAATGCCAATGGGCATGACAGCAGCGCGCCGTTCGCGTTGAATGTCGTGGCGTTGTCGCCGGCGAACCATCGAGCGGTCTCCGCTCTCAGTTCGCGCGTCGCTCGACGGCCCCTCGGTCTGGAGTTCCTTACGCGGGGGGCGGGGGGCGCTTTTCATGCGTTCGTAGCTCACTGGTGTTCCAGGCGCTCACGCTGGCGCCCGCAGCAGCACCGCTCACGCCTGCGCCTGCGCCAGGTCTGGCGAAGCTCCCACACCGGCGCCGACGCCAGCGCCGATTCAGAGCTCCGAGCAGCAGGACTGGCGCCACTCTGGCAAACACTGCCGCCACCATCGCCGCCGCCATGACCGCCGCCCCCACCGCCGCTACAGGCTCCGCACTCCGCGCCCCTTCACTTCCAGAGCGGGGGCCGCGCACACCGCCCTTTCCATCTACCAACCTCCAGACGCCACCAACTCCAGCGCCTGCACCAGCGCAGAAGTCAACGCCGGCGCCAGCCCCACACCGGCGCATTCGGCAGCTCCGACACCAGCACCATCGCCAGCGTCAGCGCCTAGGCCTGCGACGCCTGCACCAACGCCAGCGCCTATTCCAGCGCCGACGTCAGCACCGACTGCAACACCGACGCCGGCGCTTACGTCGGCGCCGACGCCAGCGCGATCGCCAGCACTGACGCCAGCACAAACGCCAGCGCCAATGCCGCACAAGCACCAGTACCAACATTGCCGACGGATGAGAAGCGGCGGTCAAATCTTACCCCCCTCCCGTAAGATTTGTTCATATACAGCGTCGCCGCCATCCCAGCTATAAGCTTGGGCAGATGGGCGCGCAGACCGTTGTGGCCAACGCCTGCGCCGGCACCGACGCCAGCGCCGACGCCAGCACCAACGCTGGCGCGCGTGCTGGCACCGACGACATTTCTTGCCCCAGCACCGACTCCAATTCCAACGCCTACGCCTACGCCAGCGCCGACGACAGAACCTCCGCCAGCGCCGAAGCTGGCACCGACGGTAGCAACAACGCCTGCTCCCACGTCCTTGTCTGGTTCGACTTTGTTACGTCCGGCATGGTCTGATGGGCGCCCAGACCGTTGCGACCAACGCCTGCGCCGGCATCGGCGCCAGCACCGACGCCAGCCCTAACCCCGGCGCCCACGCTGGCACCAACGACAGCTCTTGCCCCAGCACCGACGCCAACTCCAACGCCTACACCTACACCAGTGGCTACCCTGGAGCCTCCGCCAGCGCCGACGCTGGCACCGACGGTAGCAACAACGCTTGCGCCTGTGCCTGCCTGGTTCGACTTTGTTGCGTCCGGCTTGGGCTAATGGGCGCCCGGGCCGCTGCGACCACCGCCTGAGCCAGCATCGACGCCAGCGCCAAGCCGGCGCCCACACTGGCACCAACGACAGTTCTTGCCCCAGCACCGACGCCAATCCAACGCCTGCGCCAACGCCAGTGACGACGCCGGAGTATCCGCCATCGCGGGCGCTGGCACGGACGGTAACTCAGCAATAACGCCTGTGTCTATGTCCCTGCCTGCTTCGGATTTGTCGCGCCCGGCTTGGTCGGATAAGCGCCCAGACCGTTGCGACCGCCGCCCGCGCCAGCGCCGACTCCAGCACCGGCCCCAGGATCAACGCCGGCGCCTACGTCGGCACCGACGCCAGCGCGATCGCCAGCACTGACACCCGTACCAAGGCCAGCGCCAATGCCGCACAAGCACCGGCACCAACATCGCCGACGGACGAGAAGCGGCGGATTAATCTTGCCCCCCGTAAGATTTGTTTATGCAGCGCCGCCGCCATCCCAGCTACCGCGGCGTCAAGCTTGGGCAGATAGGCGCCCAGACCGTTACGGCCAACGCCTGCGCAACCACCGACGCCAGCACCAACGCCAGCACGCGCGCTGGCTCCAACGACAGCCCCTGCCCCAGCACCGACGCCAACTCCGACGCCGACGCCTGTGCCGACGAAAGAACCTCCGCCAGCGTAGACGTCGGCGCCGACGGTAGCAATAACGCTTACGCCTGCATCCCGGCCTGGTTCGACCTGGTTGCGTCTGTCTTGGGCTGATGGGCGACCAGACCGTTGCGACCGCCGCCTGCTTGCACCTCGGTCCACCAATCGACGGCCAGCCTCCGCCACTCAACGTTCCGACTCGCAGCTTCCAGCGCGCGACTCCCTTTCCCACCTCGACCGGTCACCCTCCAGCCTCGGCCAGCTCGGCGCCCCGATATCCAGCGGTTCCGAATCGCTTGCCGACTTCGACTCCGGCCGCGCCCTCTTGCGGCATCCATATGAAGCGGCATTTGGGGCGCCGTCTTGAGTTCACCATTTTTCCTGGGGGCGCGTTCCAAGACCCAGGGGCCGCTGATAACGACGCACCAGAATAATCATTAATCAAACATGGCCGAGAGGGAAAGCTTGATCAAGATAGCGGCGCCCATCCCACGGACGTTATTAGCAACGCGACGAGCGCCTCTATCCACCTGCAGCCCGTTCACCAGCAGCACACTTGCGCGTGCAAGGATGCTCTGGCCCAGTGCTTCTGAGGACCAGGAGCGGCGGGCGGTCGCCAGCAGCGCCAGGAGAAGCCCTGACTCCAGCTATTTTTCTGATTCCGTCTCCTGCTCCGACTCCGGCCCCCGCCCTGGCGCCGGCGCAGCGGCTATGACCCAGCTGGCAGCGGAGACCGACGGTCCGCCGACGGCCGCGCCGCGACCGCGGGGAACCCCGCCTCCAATGACCAGTGCCGCCAGGATTTCCATCCCACTCCCGCTGCCACTCACGTCGTTTCCTCTTACCTATTCCTACGACTCCGGCTGGCGCCTTCACTTCACTCCCCCCACCCTCCCACGATTGCGGCCGTGGGAGGCGGAATTCAACGCGTGACCCCGCTCAGGCCGTTGAGCTGAGGGGCCTCCTGGCCATGCCGGTGCGCCAGCGCCCGTCGCCAGACGCCCAGCAGCCTCCATCATGGCCGGGGACGGTTACTACTTCAACATGTTCTTCTACCCGCCTTTCGACCTGTGATGCCTTCCTCTCCGTTTCCTCCGCCCTCTGGCTTTGCTTCTGGGGCTCCTCCTTCCTTCCCCCTCCTTCCTGCGCAGTTCGAAGGAGCGCTACCCTCGGGAGTGCCGGGCACTCCGCGTGGTAGATTGGAGTTTCTCCTTGAATTTTCTGTCCCGCCCTCTAACTTACTTGTTTGGGCGCTCCTGTGTAAGACGCTGTGAGCGATGCCGAACGTTGTCGCTCGAACTTCTGTGTGTTGCGCTGTGACATTCGGAGCGATACCGAACGTTGTCGCTCGAACTTCTGCGCGTTGTCGCGCCCTGCTTTGAACGGGGCCCGGGGGCATGGAGTGCTCAGAGGTCGTTGCGCATGGAGGATTGGCGCTGCGCCGGTTGAGGATCTCAGCCGTTCCTGATGAGGGAAAAAATATCAGGGCCTTTTTGGAGGCATCATGGGCCGTCTTGGAACGATCTTGGGCCACTTGGGTCGTCGCGTTCCCTGCGAAAGCGTAAATAACTCGAATGTGCTGAACCTGTAAGTTCTTACAAGGGAATGGAATGCTTTGGGCATCTTGGGCCCCCCCTCGGCGATCCCCTGGAGGCGCTCTAGGGCTGTCATGGGGGCTTCGTGGGCCATATTGAAGCCATCTTGGATCGCCATGGGGCTACCCTGGGCCGTCGTGACGTTTTCTCGACTGTCTTGGCTCTCTGTCCGGCCCCGTCTTGGGCTTTGGGGGGGCTCCGGAGGCCCCGGGGGTGCGTTAACGAGCTCGTGCCCCCTCCCCCCCCCAGTATGGCATTTTGGACCCCAGGGCAGGGGGAAAGGGGGAGGGGGACAACCAAATGTCCCATTCGCCTTTTCACCCCCGGCAATCTGGGGCTGGTGGATCCTACATGCTCTCGTTGCTCGTCTTCGTGCTCGTTTTGTCATCTCCTGTCCCCATCACGCGGGTCCGACAGAGTTCCTTTTGCGCCCCCCGCCGTGTCGGGCGCCCATGGCCGCAGCGCTACTGCTGCCGTGCAGGCCTCTGTCAGCCGCCGCCGCCGCCGCCTCCGCTGTGGCAGCGGTGGGATGCCTGAGAGCCGAGCCGCCGCGTTTCCCCCCGCGGCGCCCCTCGGCCTCCGGCGGCCGCGAGCCTCTTCGCCGCTGGCCCTGCCACGGCGGCTCGCTGGCCAGCTGCAGCGGGCCGGCGCCCGCCCCGCGGCCAGACTTTTCCGAGCTGCTTCGCCAGGATTCGCGCGCGCTCCTCCAAGAGGCGGTGCTGAAGTGCGGGCAGGAGACGGGCTGCGACCCCGAGGCCAGCAGGCCGCCGGCGGAGTTGCTCGCGGCGTTGGGCGCCCCAGAGATGGCGGGGCTCTTTCGGCGGGTGGAGGCCCTCGTGGCTTTGGTGGACTCCATGGCTTCGGCGGGCTCCGCCAGGCCGCCTGATGCAGAGGCACTGCTGGAAGTGCGGCAGGCGTACTCCGCCTTCCTTGCATCGCTCGAGGAGGTCTACCAAGCGATTTTCGGCGATGCGGCCAGGCCTTTCTCCCTGACGCGCTGGTGGGCGCCTGTGTACTTGAGGTGGAGGTACCACGTCTGCAGCCTGTTTTCGTGGGGCCTGATTCCTGAGGCTATCGTCGCGGAGGCGGCCGGGGTGCTGCGGGGTCTGGGCGCCGCCGGGTTGATCGACCCCCTCGCTGGCAGCGGATGGCACGCGCGTTTGTGGCAGGACGTGGGGCGAATGCAAGTGGTCGCCTTGGACTCCTACCCCGTTCGGCCTGTGCCCTGGATCAACGTGGAGGTCGTAGCGGACTCCCGGAAAGTGCTCGGCTGGGGCGTCGCTGGGGCAGAGGGCGGCCCTTCTTTGCAGGCGTGGATCTTGTTTCTCAGCTGGCCCCCCCACTCGCCGGAGCGCGTCGGGCTGGAGCTGCTGCAGAGGTGGCCCGGTGACTTCCTCGTCTACGTGGGCGAGAGGGGCAGCTGGACCGAGGAGGGCCTGACTGGAGGGCGCGCCCTCCTGGACGCCATCCAGGCCGACTGGGAGCCTGTGCGGAGCTGGGCGATTCCGCGCTGGCCAGGGTATGAGGACGACCTGACGGTGTACCTGCGGCGCAAGCCCGGCTTGCCTGGCTAAGTGCGCCACCGGGAGGACGACCACGCGATGCCCTGCTCGGCGGCGGGGTCCCGGCCGATGGTCGCCTGCTGGAGCTGCGCCCGTGCGCAGAAGAGCGCAGATTGGCCGATGGAGTGCGATCCTCAGAGGAGCAAGAGGTCACGATAATGGTGCGTTCCAGGATTTCCCAGGTTTCCAGGATCTCCCACAGTCTCGAATGTGCCGCACTGGCTGCGCCGCTACATGCTCTGGAAATCCTGGAACGCATCCTGAGCCAATCTTACCATGACATCGTTCTCGCCCTTAATCCGAGGAAAATTGCAGTGCGCGGGCTGCGATGCCGGCCTCCCGGTGACAAAAAAACAGTCTGGAGAGGAGGTCCTTGGGTCCAGGGCCCCTTCCACCAAGAAGTTCCTTTTTCCTTCATGCCGACGTCGCCGTTCCGGACGCAGGCGCAGGAAACAGCAGTAGGCAGTAGCATTTCGCGCAGTATGGAACATTGAATAGCGTGCGCAATTTTTGCGTTTCGGATTGAGCTGCTGGCCCAATTACGATTCGAAGTCTTCGCTCTCATTTGAGAATCATCTTCACTTGGTGTTGTTGGTCGCCCGGGAGAAGCTCCACTCGGTGGTGTTGTCCTCCACGGAGCACACCTCTCCCCTCGCTTCTCCGCTCTCGTCCTGAGGACGCTAGCTGTAGCAGCAGTCTCTGCGAGCCATAGTCTTGGTCCCCATCTAAAAGAGGGCGATTTAACTGGCAATGACGTCGCGCGCAACACCATGTAGCAGAGCAGTAATTCGTAGTGTCTTGCGTCACTCATCGAGCATCCTCCCGGTAATCATCCATCTTCCCCATCTCACCTCATCTGCCGGAGGTGAGATAGTGTAGACGCCTTCCCATGCTTCGTCTTGCTGTTAATATAGTATGTCTGTCTTCGCTACGGTGACTCTTAGCTTTGTAGCGCCCGATCGCCTTGTGTGTGCGCTTTCAGGTACTTGTCCCTTCGGATTCATCTGAGTTTCGCTCCATGTTTACTCGTCCGGTGCCCCAAACGCATGTATTGCATCCTGCTGTTTACTGTCGGCGATGAAGCAGGTCGCCCTAGCGTGTACCCTGAGAGCCTCATCGGAAAGGTGCTGGGTCATCGTGGGGACGTGATCATGCGTGTCAAGGAGCGATTGCTTTCGTCGCCTCGGTATGTTCATTCTCTGTTCTGTTGTTCTCAGCAATGTCCAGAAACCATGCGCTCCCGTCTGCATGGCTGTCTTTGCCGCCGCAGAGTATGTTCATTCCGCTCACTCTTGATCTGCAGACACCCGCTCCATTCGGTCGGCCCTGCTCTGTATCACCTTGCCCCAATGCTCACGAGTGTTCGCCCAGCCTGATCCCGTGTTCCATCGTGCTCCGATGCCTCCTGGTCGCCCCCGCGCCCAGACTTCGCGCCGTGCACAGGACGAGATCGGCGCCAACCTGCTGTCCCTCCGCGGCGAAGGCCTGGGCAAGGAGGCCCGTGCCCGCCATGCGGTCCGTGCGCGGGGCGCGCGCGGACCGCCAGCTGACTTGGCAGCAGCCCCCCAAGAGGCCCCAAGATGTCCCCACGAGTCGAGGCCGAAGTGCGGCCCCAGGAGGCCCCCAGACGCCCCCCCAAGAGGGCCACCAGAACGCGCCCAACAGGGCCTGGCCAGGCAGAGGCTGCTGATGGGGTTCGAGTTGTGATTTTGGCATCTCCGATTTTCCAGCCTCTGCGCGAGCCAACCACTCATCCGAGATTGCCCTCCAAGATCGCCCACAAAACCCTAAAGTGCTCTCAAGAGGCCCCCTTGAGGCCCCCCATGCCGTGGTCCTTGTATGACCCCGAATCCCATGATGGCCCACAAGAAGGCGATCGGATGGCCCACATATTGGAGACGATGGAAAACAGGTGCTGGAGTTGCTTTGAAAACAACTCTTGGTTTGACTCTGTCTAGGCAGGCCCAGGGACCTGCTCGAAGAAGAAGAGGAAGAATACTTGATGGGAAGGGGAAGGCACGCCTTCGGTGTGCCCGTTCTGCGCGCCCAAGGTGGCTCCTCATCGCTGTCAATGGGAAGCCTCTCGGGGGCGTGTTGGGGCCTCTTCAAGGCCTGTTGGCGGCCTCGGGGGTCATCTTGGGGCGGAGGACTCGCAATGTCCCTGTCATCGTGAGTTTCGTGGACCGTTCTTGGGCCCTCGTGGGCGGTCTGGAGGCCTTCTGGGGCCGTAGTGACGCTCTCATGAGGGTGTCCCGGGGGGGCAGTTTGGGCTGTTTCTGGCCGTCGGACTCTATCGAAGGCGGTAACGGCGGTAACCTTGGTACCCCAGCAAAGCACCCCAGTAGCAGCCAATGGGTGGAGGCGGATGGGCGCTTGAAATGTACGCTTGCGAACAAGACCTCATCATATTGTTGAGACGGCTACGGAGCTCAACTTGCTGATGTGGGCGACGTTCATGATGTGATGTCGGCATGGTGACATGAACGCGCTTGGAAAAGCATTCGGGGCCGAGCGACCCCACTCCTGGCAGCTGGAATGTTCAGAAGTTTTATGGATCTGCCACACTTTCTGGACCTAGGACAGCTGGAATGGTGAGAACCCGATACTCCACCACAAACCACAATGTCAGGACTTCCGACGGCTGAAACCGACCCACAAAGTCATAAGTTTACATATGGATGTGCGAAGGCTGATATCGAACCACAACATACGACCCCCTTGTGGAGAATCTGGCGAGAAGAATCTTTCCAGCGCGCTCAAGCCAGACACAACAGTAAGTTTCAGTTCTGGACCAAATCGAGCCGAAACCCACTATCCACCTTCTTTCCAGGATCTGGGAGGGCTGAGGTCGAGCAAGAACACCACAGCAATCTTAATTTTTAGACCAACTCGAGCCAGAACATCAAACTGAGTTTCAGTTATGGATTTGCAAGAGCTGGAATCAAGCCAGAACACCGTAGCGTGAGATGCCCCGGCCTCCCCCGTGGGGATTCGGGCGAAAGGATACTAAACCACAACACCAAAGTGAGTCTCATTGTTGGGCCAAATCGAGCCAGACCACCATAGTGAGCGGTGCCGTGCCGGTCTGCCAGGCCGCCGCCGCCCCTGGAAAACCCCTCCCCCGGGCCCCCCGAACAAAAATGGGCACCATAAATGCCATAGTGACCACATTGTGGGCGTCTTAGTGGTCATAGTGGGCGCGGGGCGCGCGGCCCGCGAGGCGGGTCGCTCAGTGCTCACGGATGCACTGTGCTCACAGGTGCTCGATATTCCCTGCCACCCCCCACCCACATTGCAGCGAGGTCGGACCAAGGTCAGCTCTGTGTCAGTCGCCGCCTGCCCCGCGTCCGGCTCGCTTTCGACTATGGCACCCAAGGCTTGTGAGCCAGACCAGAGTCCCGCGGCGGCGGCCCGGTGCGGCGGAACCCCGCCCGCCGGGGTCGGCGCGATAGCCTCCTTGGTGCGAGGCGTAAAACAGGAGGTCGATTCCTCGGCTTGGTGTCGCTTTGAACATGGTTGCGGATGGCGTGTGCGCGCGTGCCGCCCCCATTGCTGGCGCGAGCGTGAAGCCGTTGCTCCGGGCGCGACGCGTCGGCAGCGCAAACGACGCAACGCCTGCTCTGCTAACGGACAGAACCCAAGGGCGCCCTCGAGGGCGCGAAGTTATTCGCGCTTCGCGGTTCGGCTCCGATTCCTCCTCGTCCTCCTCTTCTCCCCTGGGAGGCGGCGCGAGAGGGCGAAGTTATTCGCACTTCGCGCTTCGCGCAGCGCGTAGCGCGAAGTTGGGAGCCCTTAAGAACCTGACATAATCATGTAAAACAATGAAATTCGTGGGCACCTCTGCGGGGCGCGCAGCCCTTTCCCGCGCTCGTGGTGTCCGAACGAGGCTGCTGGGAAGCAGATCCCTCTGTTGTTCTTGAGATGTGTCCTGTGCTGTTGGTTCCCTCATTCCTCAGGTTGTCTTTGTGTATCCTTCTTCCTCGTGGTCCCCCGCCTTCACTGGATCCTTCGATTCTCCTGCACCTGTTTCCAAACCCATGGTTTGGCCGCAAATCCTGCGCTTGCGCCTAGCTAGACTCTTCTAGACCCAAAGCGCGCGACGCGCGCCCGCGGTTCTAGTTTCTGCTTATGCCTTCTTCCCTTCCCCTCGGAGTGTGAGGAGGTCAAAGACTGCATTTTGCGGAGGGCAAGTGCTCGCTCGGCATCCGTTGCTGCACCTGGGCCCCGTCCTGGCTAGCTTTCGAACCCTAGAGCCAGGCCCGAGCTGTCCTGCAATGAAGCGGAAAACGCGGGCGAGGAGGAAGACAACGGGGAGGAGGAGGAGGGGGAGGAGGAGGAGGAGGAGGAGGAGGAGGAGGAGGAGGAGGAGGAGGAGGCGGAGGAGGACGAGGAGGAGGAGGAGGAGGAGGAGGGAGGGGAGGAGGATGACGAAAACGAGGAGGATTTGACGATCGAAATGGGCACGGGAAGAATGGGCACGAATACCAACAGCAAATCCTGCCCGCTTTGAACCGGAATCGCTGTCAGTGTCTCCGCGGACGGCGTGCGTTTGAGACAGAAGGTCGCCTGCCCAACACCGGCCGTCGGTTTTGGACAACATATGATGTTGTTAGGCATCGTGTTTTTTTTCCGTGCCCATTCCAGATGTCCAAAGAGGAGGAGGAGGAGGAGGAGGAGGAGGAGGAGGAGGAAAAGGAGGTGGAGGAGGGGGAGGAGGAGGAGGAAGGCGGAGGAGGAGGAGGAAAAGGAGGAAAAGGAGGAGGAGGAGGATGAGGAGGCGGAGGAGGAGGAGGAGGAGGACGACGACGACGACGAGGACGAGGATGAGGAGGAGGAGGTTGGGGAGCGGCAGAGGGAGGAAACGAACGGGCGCCGAGGCTGTGCTCACGTCGCATTTTGGTCTCGGGCTCGGTGTGGGGCCCCCCAGTCGCTGTGGCTGGAAGCAGCTCTTGGAATTTCCCACAGGTGCAGGGTGCAGTTGCCCTCTCCGCTCCCTCGAGATTGTTTTGTTGTTGAGTCTGGCGACAGACTGTGCCATCGGGCCCGCCCCATTCCCCCCCCCCCCGTCTCTGGATAGCCAAATTGCCCGACCTTGCCTTGTCTGTTTTGCGCAGGTCCGAGGGGGGGGGGTAACTGCGCAGTGCTGGTGCGCGCGGGCAGACGTGGGGCCGCCCAAGCAACAAAAAGGTTCGGTTCATCGGCAGGCACCTGCCCCAACCCCGCCTCCCACAGGCCCACAGGATACACCTCAGGCGATGCTTAAGAAAACTTGAATTTTCGGCCAGGGTCTCGATTATTCTTCATGTTTCAACGTAGATCCTAAGATTTTAATAGAATTTTTGGGTTTTTTTTGTCAAGTTCTGAGACTATGAATTTCTTAACCCATGATTTCTTAAGCATTTCGCAGGGTGTAATCCAGGCTATCGCCCAGAAGTGCGTCCCGGTCGCCTCCCTCGCCGTCGATGCGTGGCGAACCACACACCATCCCCGAGGCTCCGTTCGGCCCAGCGCGAGGCTCCTGCCAGCCTGGGGCCGCGCACCACGCCCGGCACCGCAGGACCCGAACGCGTCCAAGCGCGTCCACTTCGTTTGCAGAGGACTCCGCTGGCCGCCGCGCCGTTAGGTCGGTGCCGGCCAAGAGGGCGGTGATGACCAGGGGGGATCCCATGGCCAGGGCCATGGTGTCTCCCAGTTTTCATGGTCCCTCATGATTCGTATCAGAATGATTGCTTGTTTTCTTCATATTAGTTAATCGTATTATTATTTCTATGTTTCTTCTTCTTCTTCTTTCAATACGTCCCTTGGTCCCCCCTCGTCTGCGCACATGCCTCGGGCCATGATTTGTGTCTTCCCCCTCCTGAACGGCCCCGTTTTGGACACCTCCGATCTGGGTCGGGGGCCTTGGACCAGAGCAGGAACAGGTGCCAATACCGTTACCTTCCCCCATTCTCGCCTTTTTGGGCTTCCTGGTATAGGCTCGTCGCCACGGCTGGATTCGCTTCGATATCCTGGACAGAAAGGACCCCAGGAGAGGTCTGCATGGAGTAGCGGTATACCTTTTGTTTCCACCCAGAGGTGTTGCGGGTGCTTTCTGGAGGTCTCCCGCGGCTCTTTCGGAGCGTGTCGGGCCCCAGGGCGCGTCCCAGCAGCTGCGCACCGTCGAGAGCGCATCGTTTCAGAGCGTTTTGGAACTCTCTCAGAGCGCTCCAGAGCGCTCTGGAACGGCCGCGGCGCCCGACACAGCTTCCAGAACCACCAGATCTCAGAGATTCCCGATCTCACCACCCACCAAACCACCCCAACCCAACCCGAAGGCTCAGATTTTCCCTCGATTTCCAGTGGGGGGGGGTCGGGAAACATCGAAAAAACACATGTGGAACCCTTACCCCCCCCAACCCGAAATTCGGGTCTTCGGGTTGGGTTGGGGTGGCCTGGTAGGTAGTCACGATCTGCCCGTGCCCGATTTTGTCCCGGTCCCAGCCTCGTCTTAGAGGAGGTCCCCCCATGGGATGGCTGGTGGTGGTGCTGCGGTTGATTTTTGTTAGGTTTCCCGCCCGGAGCGTGTCGGGCCCTGGGGCGCGTCCCAGCAGCTGCGCAGAGAACGTCGTTCCAGAGCGTTCCGGAGCGCTTTCAGAAAACCGTTCCTGGTTTTGTTCTTGCCATGCTTGTTCCACGTTCCGCAATGTCAGAGGTGTTATGTTTTTTCTCCGAAGGGGATTCCTGAGGAAGCAAAGCTCTTTTAAGCTGCTGTCGGCCGTGCTCTTGCTGCCCAGCCAGAATTAGCTCATGATGATGCCATCGATCTTACGATGTGGATGATGAGGTGGATGGGAACATGCCTGAGAATGCAGCCGTTCATGCCTCGAAAGCTGCGAGTTCTCGTTGTACGAAAGACTGGCCCGTATCCCGGTTTGGCGGTCCTGCCCGCGTTCGCAAGAGGAGTTCACGCTTCTGTTCGTTTCCATTCCCAATCCCACAGTTGTCTCTTTGGCTGTTGCTTCGATGCTTGTGCTCTCGATCTCTCCGACCTCGATAGTTTTGTCCATTGCTCAATAGTGTTTCAGTTTTCTAGATTTGCGAGCACTGACTCTGAGAACTGATGTCTGTCCTCTCTGAGTCTCATCCCCTCTTTGTTTCATTGCTCACGACCAGTGAGAGGCCTCGGTGCTGTCAGTCACGACCAGTGTTGTGTTTGCTCCCAATTTGTCGCCGCTGCCAGCTCTCTCCTGCCAGTGTGTCTCAGCAAATGCACGCCCGAATCCGTGCCACCACTCGCCGTCGATATTGCTGAGGCATGGAGGATCGAGGGACGGGTTCGGCGTTTGTTAGGAGCGCCGAATGGCTGTCATTCTCTGTGTGTGATATGCCCTGCTTCGAATGAGGTCTGAGAGCGTGAGGTGCTCGGATGTTTGTTGGCCCGTGTGGCTGTGAACTGCTCTGGCGCGGAAACAGACCGCACGCTGAAACAATCCTAACAAGCCAGCGACAATTGGGGGGGAACAAAAACGAGCGCCCGAGGGGCCCCACAAACACCCCACAGAAACATCAATAGGTCCCCATAGAGGCTTTAAATATTACAAAGACCTCCCGGATGCCCTCCAAGAGACCAAACAATTTTCCAAACAGTCTCCCCAAAGCGCCCCCGAAAGGCATCCCAAGAGACCCAGCATTGTTTGTCAAGCTCTTCTAGCGCCTCTGGCATCCCCCCGTGGCTGCCTTGCGCGCTCTCCTGGAGACTCCCTTGGCGCTCGCAACAAAAAAACAGGGGATTTGCAACTTCCGGTCTCTGTCTCACCCTCCTTCTCATGGCATTCCCACCTTCTACCGCTGTGGTCTTTTACCTCGCATCTCCCCCATGTCACTTCCAAGGTCCAAGCCCCACCTCTTCACCCCTTCTGAGTGTTTTCGAAAGAGTATGCTGGATTGCCCTTTGATTTGTGCAGCCTCAATTGGGTGATCTTTGACTTCGCCCGTGGCCATCTTGCACTCCTTCCCAGAGCCGTTCTAAGCGCCAGCGCGACCTTCCCATCTCGGGGGCGGCAAAGAGGGGGGTGATGACTAGGGGGGGGAAATCCTGGCGTGGGCCATAATATTTCCTCAGATTTCATGGCGCCTCTTCTTTTTTCTTTAGGTCCCTGGCCCCGCCCTTGGGCCGCGCAGATGCCGCCGGCCATGATTTTGGGCCCCCCCTCTTGGACACCCCCCTCCTGGCCGCCCCCGACCATCCTTCTTCGACCTCTCCGCCGTCGATGGAGGAGCGAGGCTGCAAGTTCGAACCTTCCGCATTGTTGTTGGGGAATGGGTTGTCTTGCGCAGGGCGCTTTCATCGCCACGGTCGTGTTCTAGTTGGTAGCTCGAGTAGGACGCATGACGAATAACACATGGAGGGAGGGACGGAGGGAGGGACGCAGGAGGAGGAGGAGGAAGAGGAGGAGTGAGGACGGAGGTCGGAGGGAGGGCGGGCGGGACGGAGGGACGGATGAGGAGGAGGAGGAGGAGGACGATGAGGAGGAGGAGCAGCAGCAGGATGGATGAGGGAGGAGGGAAGAGGGTGAAGGAGGGTGGAGGGACGAGGGAGGAGGGAGGAATGCATAAAACGAAAGAGCATCATAATAATAATACGGAAAATACTGATAGTTGAAGCAATGATAATGTTAATCATGTTAACAATAATACGAATACGATTCATCATACTAGTACGGAATATAAGAATGATAATAAGAAAAATACTTAGAATAATAAGAACAACAACATGAGGAGAAGGAGGAGGAGGGGAAAGAGGAGGAGGAGGAGGAGGCGCGCCAGCCCTTGGGGGTGAGGAACGAGGAGCGTAGTTTTGCTTGGGCGGAGACGCAGTCTCTGGCCCATCGCTCGCGACACCTCGCCTCCCTCCAGGGTGTCCCGTGGCGACTCCCTGGCCGCGAGACGCGGTCAGAAAGGGGTGCCCGGGGCCCACTCAGGTTGAGAGGCGCCCCGAGGCGCCACCCCGGCCGCGAGGCGCGGTCAACGGGGGGTGCCTGAGGCCCCCTTTCAGGTTGAAGCCGAAGTGTCCCTTGGCGCCCCGCCAGCCGAGAGACGCGGTCAAAGAGAAGTGCCCGGGGGACGCCCAAGGTTGAAACCGTGGTGTTCCGAGGCGCCCCCCGCGGCCGCGAGACGCGGTCAAGGGGAGGCGCCCAGGGATTAATTTGGCCCCAGGCCGGGAGAAAAGCAGTGAAAGAGCTGCAACACAATCCCACTAAGTGAGTTGCCCGGCAGCCTGGGGGGGAATTCGTTACTGTTCTAAACCGCCGCGTGCCGGGGCTGGCGACCGGCCAGAGGATCGATTACGAGAGGGACGAGGAGGAGGGGGACGAGGAGAAGGACGAACTGGTGCGCTAGCGTCATATGGAGGCTTACCGACAGCGGAATTGGGGCATCCACCACTTATTTAGCACACCTTATCCTTGGGATCTCTGAGGTTCTGGAGCACTCGATTTCGTACGGCCTCTTGCATTATCGCGCATTGTCTTGCAATGCATTTCACTTGGCTGCTTTCCGACGGATGTGCGTTGGCATGGCTCTGCAAACCACATTGTGTTGGTGAGCATTGTTCTGCTTTGCATTAACTGATATTCGAACTGCATCACCTTAGCCTGCCTTTAATTGTTTTGCGAGCTTTTGTTTGTAATGCTTCTCGCTGCATGGCGCTCGCATCCGGTTTCCATGGCATTGCGATGCATTGCAGTACCAGTGTGGGCATTTCATTATCTTTATTGGCTTGCATCAGCTCGCATTGCACTGCACGGGCGTGCCACTGTCAGTAATTCATGTCTGTTTGGCCGCGTTGTTTTTCCCAACCAACCTGTGTTGTTTCGTCCTGGTTCTGAAGAGACGGTCCCCGCGCTTCCTCCTCCTTCTCCCTCCTCCCCTCCTCTCACCATCATCATCATCATCATCATCATCATCATCATCATCATCATCAGCATCAGCATCAGCATCAGCATCAGCATCAGCATGATCATCATCATCATCATCATCATCATCATCGTCATCATCATCATCATCATCATCATCATTATCATCAGCATCATCATCATCACCATCACCATCACCATCACCATCACTATCACCATCATCATCATCATCATCATCAGCAGCAGCAGCATCAGCAGCAGCAGCATCATCATCGTCATCATCGTCGTCAATCGTTTCGTGGCCCCACAGAGGCTCCGCCGAAGGTCCCAGTGGCACAGTTCGCATGCGTCCCCGCCATTCATTTCGGCAAACCCCACAGAGGCTTCGTGGCCCCATAGGAGCTCCGCCGAAGGTCCCAGTGGCACAGTTCGCATGCGTCCCCACCATTCATTTCGGCACACCCCTCACACGTTTCGTGGCCCCATAGGAGCTCCGCCGAAGGTCCCAGTGGCACAGTTCGCATGCGTCCCCGCCATTCATTTCGGAACACCCCTCACACGTTTCGTGGCCCCATCGGAGCTCCGCCGAAGGTCCCAGTGGCACAGGTCGCATGCGCCCCCGCCATTCATGTCGGCACACTCCTCACACGTTTCGTGGCCCCATAGGAGTTCCGCCGAAGGTCCCAGTGGCACAGTCCGCATGCGTCCCCGCCACTCATTTCGGCACACCCCTCACACGTTTCGTGGCCCCATAGGAGCCCCGCCGAAGGTCCCAGTGGCACAGGTCGCATGCGCCCCCGCCATTCATGTCGGCACACTCCTCACACGTTTCGTGGCCCCATAGGAGTTCCGCCGCAGGTCCCAGTGGCACAGTCCGCATGCGTCCCCGCCACTCATTTCGGCACACCCCTCACACGTTTCGTGGCCCCATAAGAGCTCCGCCGAAGGTCCCAGTGGCACAGTTCGCACGCGTCCCCGCCATTCATTTCGGCACACCCCTCACACGTTTCGTGGCCCCATAGGAGCTCCGCCGAAGGTCACAGTGGCACAGTTCGCATGCGTCCCCGCCGCTCATTGCGGCACACCCCTCACACGTTTCGTGGCCCCATCGGAGCTCCGCCGAAAATCCCAGTGGCACAGTTCGCATGCGTCCCCGCCATTCATTTCGGCACACCCCTCACACGTTTCGTGGCCCCACAGGAGCTCCCCCGAAGGTCCCACTGGCACAATTCGCACGCGTCCCCGCCATTCATTTCGGCACACCCCTCACACGTTTCGTGGCCCCATAGAAGCTCCGCCGAAGGTCCCAGTGGCACAGTTCGCATGCGTCCCCACCACTCATTTCGGCACACCCCTCACACGTTTCGTGGCCCCATAAGAGCCCCGCCGAAAGTCCCAGCGGCACAGTTCGCATGCGTCCCCGCCACTCATTTCGGCACACCCCTCACACGTTTCGTGGCCTCATAGGAGCTCCGCCAGAGGTCCCAGTGGCACAGTCCGCATGCGTCCCCGCTATTCATTTCGGCACACCCTTCACACGTTTCGTAGCCCCATAGGAGCTCCGCCGAAGCGCCCAGTGGCACAGTTCGCATGCGTCCCCGCCGCTCATTGCGGCACACCCCTCACACGTTGTTTCGTGGCCCCATCGGAGCTCCGCCGAAGGTCCCAGTGGCACAGTTCGCATGCGTCCCCGCCATTCATTTCGGCACACCACTCACACACGTTTCGTGGCCCCATAGGAGCTCCGCCGAGGGTCCCAGTGGCACAGTTCGCATGCGTCCCCACCACTCATTTCGGCACACCCCTCACACGTTTGGTGGTCCCATAGGGAACTCCACCGAAGGTTCCCGTGGCAAAGTCCGCATGCGTCTCCCTCACCCAGTACAGCGCTTCGTGGCCCCATGTGGAGCCCCACCGAGGGTCCCCGTGGCGCAGTCCGCATTGTGTTGTTCGTGGTCGTTCGCGATGTGTACCACGCCATTCATTTCGGCACACCCCTAGCACGGTTCGTTGCCTCATAGGGATCACCACCGAAGAAGTGAATCACAATTCCGGTACTAACACTTGCATCTGGTTGGGTCTTGCGTCAGGGTAATTGACGATTTGTTGTGCCTCATTTTCAATGTTTGGTAACTATTTCAGAGTACCGTTGAACTTGTCACGGTTTGGGGCTTGCTAGAACTTGAGCGCGCGCGAAGCGTGCGCTCGAGGCTCGCGTATAATATCTCGCTTTATCTCTCCTCTCTCTAACTATATGTGTCCACATGAGCATATCGTGTTCAGTGAATGCGTTTGTGACTATATGTGCATCGTATCTAAAGGAATACGCCTTCAGCTTTTTCAAACAACGCACGACCGCCATGACTTCGTACATGCGATTGTGCATTCATATGCATGTTAATGTAGATTGGTGCGTACATGTGCGCATGTAGATCAACAACTTTGCATCCCACGGGTAGAGATAGATAAATAAGTAAGCAGAGAAAGAGAGAGAGAGAGAGCGAGAGAAAGAGAGAGAGAGAGAGATGGCGAGACAGTGAGAGAGAAAGAGAGAGAGAGAGTGATATATATCTATATACACGTTTATATACGTATATACCCATGCGACCACCCTTCGAGTGAAAAAAGGAGGTTGTGGGGGGGAGAAAGGGGGGGGAACCAACATCTTACTCAATCGATCTCACTATCGATCTCACTCAACGGGACACCACGGGACACTTGTCGATCTCATTATCGATCTCACTCAACGGGACACCACGGGACACTGCTGGCAGGAGTCATTCCGATTCCGCCGGTTCGGTTCGAATCGATTTCCGCGATTCCGATTTCGAACCGACTCGATTCCGTGATTCCGATTCGCGATTCCGATTTCGAGTTCGCCCGATCCGGCTTCTGCCGATTCGATGCGTCAGCCGATTCCTGCCGGCTTTTGCCGATCCGGCTTCGCTCCGGCTTTGGCCCCCAAGGTGAGGAGGAGGAGGAGGGAGGAGGAACCCCCAGGGGGGAGTCCAAAAACCCCGAACCCCCCCAGGGGGGAGTCCAAAAACCCCAAAGGCCCCGGGACCCCAAACCCTACCCATGCAGGGGGGGGGTCCAAAAGCCCCGGAACCCCAAACCCCCCCAGGGGGGGGGGTCCAAAGCCCCGGATCCCCAAACCCCCCCCAGGGGGTTCCAAAACCCCCCCCCCCCCCCAGGGGGGGGTCCAAAAACCCAAATCCCCCCCAGGGGGGGGGAGTCCAAACCCCCCCCCCCCAAGGGTGGGTTCCAAAAACACCCCCCCCCCCAGGAGGGGTTCCGATTTCGATTCCGATCCGGCTTGACGCGGTCCGGTTTCTGACTCGATCTGGCTCGGACCTGCCGACTTCAGCCGATTTCGATTTGGCTGCCGGCTTTTGCCGATTTCAGCCGATTCGATGCTCCGGTCGACCCGATCCGGCTTATCGATTCGATGCTGGGGCCGCCTGGCCGGACACTTTTCGATCTCACGATCGGTCTCACTATCGATCTCACTATCGATCTCACTCAACGGGACACCGTACGACACCACGGGACACCACGGGACACTACATCGATTTCCTATCGATATCATTACAGATCTCACTCAACGGGACACCACGGGACACCACTGGACACCTGACGATTGCACTATCGATCTGACTATCGATTTCACTATCGATCTCACTCAACGGGACACCACGGGACACCTCGGGGCACCACATCGATCTCACGATCGATCTCACTATCGATATCACTATCGATCTCACTCAACGGGACACCATGGGACACCTGACGATCTCACCATCGATCTCACTATTGATCTCACTTTTTGGGTCACCACGGGACACCTCGGGGCATCACATCGATCTCACTATCGATCTGACTATCGATCTCACTACAGATCTCACTCAACGGGACACCACGGGACACCACGGGACACCATGGGACACCACGGGACACCGCGGGACACCGCGTGCCACCGCCGGACGGACGGACGGACGGGTGGGCGGGGGAGAATCATTTGTCTGGACTTCGCCCTGGCAACGGCGGACACCACGGGACACCACGGGACACCGCGGGACACTGCGAGCCACCGCCGGACGGGCGGGCGGGCGGGTGAGAATCATTTGTCTTGACTTTGCCCTAGCAACGGCGGGTTCATTCCTCGCGCGCCCACGCAGCTTCGCCTCGCCCGTGCGCGCGACACGAACGCAACGAAACGATTTCCCGTTTGGGGTCTCCGTTCCACAAATGCGATCTCACCCCCCAATCTCCGATACAGATATGTGTGTTAGTGCAGATGCCACCGATACCCATTGCCTGCAAGGATCCCCAGACATCGTGTCCAAGATCCAGCCCGCGCTGGAGCAGACTATCGAGAAGGCGCTCTCGAGATGTCGTGTAAGCGAAAATTGCGGCTTCTTCGTTTCCGTCCAGATCTTTTGTTTTGTTGTGCGGTGAAGCATGGACGCGAAAGGAAGCGTGAGAGATCCACAATGTATCCTTACGTTTGATTCGTTTGTTTTTGTATGTCTGCTCATGGACATGCATGATTCATGGTTCCCCGGCACGGGTGGACATATTGTTGATGACGTCCGAGCGGCGTTTCAGATCTTCCAGACAAAATCGTATGGACTCCCAGCTGTGTTCACTCCTTGCACATGATAATACATCAGCAATTCGTTGTACATTGCAACGGGGAACTCCCATTCAGCGGGTCTTTCCTTAGCGCGAGTGTTGATGAGTACGGCGAAGACTCAGGTGATCCAGGGGCAGAGCCCCAAACACATTCATTCCATTTCGTTACTTGTATGCCCGTAAGCACCTCGTTTTCGGTGAGGCTCGTCCGTCATCGTTTTGCTCCACTTCGTGATATCCCAGCGTGCTTCCGTACATTGCCATTTCTGTAGCACCAGTTATGTTGTTTTTTTCATCCGCGACATGGATTTTGTTTTTGCACAATCGCAGACTATGGGAGCTCAAATGCTTCTTCAATTATGTGATACTTGGTAGTCGTGGCCAGGGAACGTGACGAGTTACGCCAGTAGACACACTGGGCAGCAACAAGTGGGTTCGCCGACGGTGATTGGGGCTCGGGGTCACCACGCTCCCAGTCATTGACCAGCCGCTCAATGTGCAGAAGACAGGGGAGGGTCTCGAGGGCCCCCAGGAGGAAGAAGTGGAGGAGGCTGAATGAGAGGAGGAGGAGGAGGAGGAGGAGGAGGAGGAGGAGGAGGAAATGGAACGGCATACAGCGGGCGACGACGCCTACAGTGCCTTATATATATATATATATATATATATATATATTATGTGTATGCACACTTTTATATCTGGTTATTGCAAGGCACCGTTTGCATGTAGGGCTTCTTACTCATCTTACCAAGGCGTGGTTCGTTCCGTCGAGGCGTCGCCACGCTGCTGCCCTTGGGGGGCTCGGTGCCGCCCACCGCGCTTGGGGGGTCCTCTGAGGCTTTGCTACTAACGCCCGCCGCGCTTGGGTGGTCCGCCGAGATTTCGCCACGTTGCTGCCCGTGGGCGCCCCATTTCCGCACAGGTTGCCGCCCGTGGGCGCCTTGTTGCCGCCCACCGCCAGTGGGCGCCCCGTGCGTTGGCTGGGTCCGCCGAGGTTTCGGTACGTTGCCGCTTTTGGGGGCCACGTGGCCGCTCAGTGGGTTGGGTGGGTCCGCCGAGGTTTCGCCACGTTGCCGCCCGTGGGCGCCTCGTGGGTTCCCCATGCGTTGGTTGGGTACGTCATGGCCCCCACGGTGCCGCCCGTGAGCGCTTTGTGAGCGCCCCGTGCGTTGGCTGGATCCGCCGAGGTTTCGCTACGTTGCCTCCCGCGGGCGCCTCGTAGGCGCACCTCGCGTACACTTCATGACATACCACATAGATTGCACCATACAGCTTGCACCGCAGAGCTCTGACCGTACAGCTCATAACGCACGACATACATCACATCGCGTTCATCCCATAGCGCACACGAAATATGTTGCATTGCATTGCCGGAGTTGCACCGCTTCGATTGCACCACATAGTTTGCACCATATATTTCACACCACATGTAATGCACCACAAGGGGGATCCAGCTCGTGGGTTGCCCTGGCACGAAGATCGCGAGGCATCCGCACAGCCCGCACCATGTGCAGCGCTACGAACACCACCTCGCCATCCACTTCGGCCACGGGCGCCACAGCGCGCACATCAACAACTCGGCGGGCTGCCGCATTTTGCGGAATCATTACATGTTCAAGAGGAAGCACGTCAAGGACATCACGACAGCACCACCAGAGCTATGGGGGCGCGGAGGTCGCATCACCATCGAGCATCACGAACTTGAAGATCATCACGGCCTACCCCGCTTGCCCCATGGGACCGACGGAAACTACCACAATGGCGGGTCACCAGGACGTAGGTGGCACAATGGGTGAAACAAGAGATTCTGAACACGCCGTCGCGCTTCACTCCGATCGTCATGATGGACCTCAACGACCGCTTCGCTGCGGGCCCCGAGGGCGACGAGACGGTCGGCGACTACCCCACGGGCAAAGAGGGCGAAGCGTGCAAGTTCTACCACCGCAGCCTTGGCAACACGCACATGGCGGCAGCGAGCGCGTACTATGACACGGGCCCCACCTATGACGGCCGCTACCCTTCGGTTACCGACTACGTATTCATTCCAACGGGCATGGTCTCACGTATCTTGCAGTGCCGAGTGTGGAACCACGCCGCCCACGCCCTCCAGCTCCCGCGGAAGTTCAAGGACCACGGGCCGCTGATAGTCAAGATCGAGGCCCCGCCAGCGTGCCACACACCGGCCGTGGCCCGTCAGACCTTGGACGTCACGCTATCGCGCTGGGCTTCAAGGAGGGCCACAAGCGCGTCGAGTTCTTGGAGAGCCTCGAGGAACACCTCAGCACCCACGCCGACTTGCTGGGCGAGTACTTGGAACGCGACGGCGGCGCGTACCATTGGTGCCTTGCGATGCAGTGCTCCCGCGACGCCGCCATGGAGCAGTTCTCGGCCGCCGCACGACGCCCCGATTGGCATCGCGAAATTCGAGATCACGAGCTACAGCTGCTTCGGCAACGAGCCCAACTACGACAGAAAAGCCATGCCCAGGAGGACCACCGCGACACGAATGAGGAGGCCCTACAGCATCTCGGCGACACCATCCACGAATTGAGCAAGCATCTCCGACGCCACCAGACGGACACGAACCACAAGTACCAGGAGACGCAGTGCGACGGCCTGTGGCAGGCCTGGCGCGCTCGGCGACTAGCAGAATGTCATTGCGTCACCAAAGACATGCTACGCTATGAGCTACGCGCGCCGTCCGCGTGCGTCCCAGAAACTTAATTTGGCATTTCCTCCCACCCAGTAAAGCGTTCCGTGGCCCCATAGGGAGCTCCACCGGAGGCCCCAATGCCACCGTCCGCGTGCGTCACCGAAGCCCAATGTGGCATTTTCACCCACCCAGTACAGCCTTTCGTGGCCCCATAGGAAGCTCCACCGAAGCGCCCAGTAGGACCGTCCGTATGCGTCTCGGAAACCCAATTTGGCACACCACCCACTCAGTACAGCGTTCCCCCCACCCAGTGCAGCGCTTCGTTGCCCCATACGGAGCTTCATAGTTGGGTCCCTCGCCAGGATAAAACAGATGCCCCCGAGGACGCCCACGCCCATCCACTCCCAACAGATTCACACATCCCCCGCTCCCACGTGCGTAGTTGTGGGGTGGTGGGGGGAGGGGCGGGGGTCCTGCTGTCGACAGCAGCACGTTCGACCAGCAGGTGCCACCAGGCGCCGTGGATATGCATGTGCGCACATGCATGTTTCAGAGTCAAGAGGCCGAAGGTTCTTACCCTGTGCCTGGCTGCGTGGTGCTGAAGAGACGTTCCGCGGTGCAGATTGCCGCCAGCATTGCTGTTATTACTTGTCGCCGTCGCCCCTCCCGATCCGCTGGTGACCCGCCTCGCGACCTACCCGTGAGCCACTGGCGACACAACCCGCTTGCGACCTACGTGCGCTTCCCGCGACTCGCGCCGTCTGTGGTCCGCGCTCCCAGCGCTTGTCGCTCCTTGCACGCCCCACGTCACCCGCGCCCGCGACCCACCCACTGATCTTCTCGCGACCCGCCGACGATCTATCCTCGACACGCCCGCAATGTGCTGAGAGAGAGAGAGAACAACAAAAAAACGATCGCCATTCGCGGCGGGCTGTTTCGTTTTGTTCGCATTGCTTCAACACACATTCTATGCGGTCCAGCGCCACCGCGGCTTTCGGAAGACGACCTTCTCCCCTCCCCCGACTCACTGTTCTTCGTCATTCTTGACCGTCTCTTCCCCCCCTCCATCCCCCCGTTGGCGCCCCCGGGTTAGCCGAATGCCGATCGTGCCCCGCAGGTGCACGAGGAGCTCAAAGAAAGAATCGCCAGCGGGGAGCCTGGGCATGCTTGCGCCTGCTTTTCCATTACCTTGTGCCCTCTGGGTCCCCGCGGGAGGGGGTTCGTCTTGAACCCCTTTGTGTTTGTGCAGTTGGGGTAG